CATATTATACTTATTAAAAAATATATAATTAAATATATATCTATACATATGTATAAAGTTTAAGATTTTTTTTAATTTACCTCTAACGAATCCTTTAGACTCTCCTACTAAAGATGCTGTCACTGTCCAGTAATACACATGTCCAAGAACATAAAAAATTACATTTATCTTTTGATCACTAAACACGCAAACATACATCTGTTCAAACGCTCTTTTCCACACATGTGTGGATAACATTGCAATAGCCAGAAGTGTACTTTCCTCTGATACTAAAATGATATAAATGAAGTTTTTTCTTATACGAATTTGATATGATACTAAGTTTTATATAAAAGTCACAACATATACGTACCTAAAGGTTTTCTTGATGTTCCTAATGAGACATCCAAAAAAAAAAGTATATTTTCGGAGACATCTTTATTATAAAGATATTTCTTTAACCCTACGTAAAATAAAACAAGTGTCATTGATCCAGCAACAAGATACAAGTGTAAAAATAATCTAAAACATTCGAAATAAGCAATTTATTATAAACGATTGTCAATGCATAACAAGCAGAAACTGTTTATTTCTCAATATACTTTCACTGTACATTTTTTATTTTTTTTGACAGAAAAAATTTACACAGACATAATATATGTAAAATAATGTAAATGTTTACACTTACTTTTTGGGAATTTTTTCAATCTTTTCTATTAAAGCGTGGCGACGAGTCTCTGCGATTTTTCCATAACAAAAAAAATGAATAATCCATTTTGGCAAATAGACTTCTGCATAATTTAGTAATAATGCTACTAATCCAACAGAAATTATATAAAAAATAATAACATCCCCTGCTAGATTGAAATCCATTAGTCAAGATCAGCTCAACACGTTAATATTCAAATAACACTTCTGTAAAGAAAATATAAAATTCTGTAAAGACAGTATAATATTACTAGTTTTAGTAACTAAAATCTTTTTCTCTACAAATATGTACAAAAAATTATTAGATACGTAGAGAAAATACATAATGTACAATTGCAGTAAAAATATAACAATACTAATCTAACATCACAAATCTCGCTAATAAATCAAGACAAAGACTACAAAATAATAAAGTAAATGATAATATATAAAAAAAACTTTGCAATAAAATACTTCTTGCATGTGTGTCGATGCTACCCGTGAAATGTAAATCTTTTTTTTTGTTTTTTCATATTATTACCTCGCAGAAAGTTGTGCTTTTAATTGTAGCCGAAATCAAAGTTTACGCGCAAATTGTTTGTGCGTTCGTAAACATTTTCGGACGTAAAGAAAGTATCGGCCAATTCCGCGTGAATGCATTCGAGAGGTAGAATTGTCGAAGTAGGTAAAGACGACTCTGGCTTTAATTACGTATGTAGTTCAGCACTCACGGCGTCCTCTCGTTTCTCCCAAGAGTCCCAATTGCCGTGGAAAGGAGGATAGTGTGCATATATAATATCGCATAATATCTTCGCCGTGGTTCACATGCAACATTGCGAACACTCGCGATGGAAAACCGACACGCAACCATGCGAAGAGACATCGAGATTTCGTCGCCGAAAGAAACGCGCATTTGTATGTTGAATGTTGTTTTCTCATTTCCACCGACCTCGGACAGAAATCGTAGGTGAGTTTTTTCTTAACTACAAGGTTTTATGCGTCCTACCTTCCTTATGGTGATTTTAATACTCAAATTAAGCACTTGGTTATATGACTAATAAATTTCTACAAGAGTTACGATGTATAATAATATTATATTTAAGATTCTTATGAGATGCCGTATTTTTTTATTTGGCTACAGAGTAATCGAAAATAAACTCAAGACGAGCTTAAACACAAGACTATGAATGTCGGCCTACGTTTGCATGGCGATGCTAACCCGGTTTAAATAACAATTGTTTTTATTTTTTTGTGAAATTATATCACAGTCAGTTCGGCCGATGTGAGTGGTCATCTCCACGTGAACGGTTGTTCTTATTAAACTGGATTAGAATGTTGTTCAAATGAAAACGATCGAGTGAAATAGAAGAAATATATTGTAGAAAAGAGATATAAATGTAGAAAAAGTACAGACTTCTCTATTGACCTTTCTTGAAGAGTTTGAGATAACGAATAGACTGTTTTCAGAAAATTTATCGTATATTAAGAGATAGTATCACATCACGAGTCCTTCGACGACGCAGTTCATATCGACAATCTTGAAAAAATGTAATTTTTGAATCTTTCTATGTGTGACCTAGTGATTGCACTTTTTTCTTACTCTCTCTTTTTTCGTACTCATTCTCTCTTTTCCTCTCTCTCTCTCTCTCTCTCTCTCTCTGCAAAGATATCGATGATAGATGTTTGTCTAATATCTTATCTGTAAAATTAAATGCAAAAATAATATTCGATTGGAGCGCCATGCGTTAGCCTTATCGACATCATCTGCGCGCGATTACTTTCTTTTACTGCATTTAATCTTGCGCACACGGCCAAGTTCTCTATCCGGAAACATAGTTTATCGCACGGTAGTTATGATATAATTATAAGAAATAGAAGTAAACTGCGTATTGATGATTCCACGCTGGCGATAATTTGTAATATTTTATATCACAAAATTGTTACACAATATTTACAATTTTCCTTTTTCAAATCGTGCGATACTTTAATAAAAAATCAAACATTTAGGATTTCAATCCCATAGTTTAATTATCTATCTGGTAGCCAATGTACTTTCGTCTGATTGTTCGATAACAAAGTAGATAATCGCGGGTTATCGTCTGCTATATAACTTCGGCGGTCGCGCACACAATATGCAGAGGTATAGTTGATATAACCCTGGTGTGGCCGGAGAGACGAATGTTATAGTCCGCCAGTGATACACACGCTTCGTACGATTTCGGATCTTCCCGAGGAAAAGTTTTCATCATATACATTTCCAGGCTCGATCGTTCGTATATATTATTCACACATAGAACATGTACAATACACAATGCGCGATAATATAGTATCTTCGTCTCCGAGAGAGAAAAAGTAGAAATCGCGTACAAAATAATCTCTAAGTATTATTTGTCGAAGTTCAGAGGTCAGTTTCAACTTTTTCATTTACTGCGATCAAGTCTATCCGAGAATACAACACTTGAGTAATGACAACACGAATACAATTCGCGGTCTTACTCGATCTTTTCAATTAGATTTACGGAGATTTTTATTTGCAAAAAGTGCGTAACTCGTTGTATGTTTCTCTAGACATAATTAACTCACAGCGACATTATAACAACAACGAGACAATAAATCAAACGACAACCTCGACAAAATCGTCGTTATCGCTCTTCTGTTCATTATTATTATTATTATTATTAGACAGTGATTTATGTGCACGAGTCTTTCGATAAGATAACAACTGCATGGCATGTATAACGCTCCTCTTTAGTCCCGCGTGATGACTAGAGAGATCGGAAATCGTACATATGAATCGCACGGAATCTGGCGCCGATCGTTTTCGTCGCATTTTTTTACGTGAATTTCGCGACCTAACGTTCAAGATGACGCCGACGCTAACGATCGGAGAAGTGGTCATTTCGTTTCAAAGCCCATTACTCGCGCCCGGATGTTGGCAACTAACGCTTTGACGGATCCCCCTCTTCAGATCCGACACAAGGATGCCGAGCGAGTACGTGTGAATTGTATCGTGGATGTGTGCGTATCGTCATCACGACAATATTCTCTCGCAAAATTGCACGCTCAATTCAGATCGGCGATGCACGAGCAATCGGTAAAGAGTAACATCGTTCTGCATACAAATTCGTTCTCGCGATCGAACGTCGTCGTCGGAAACAGCTGAAAAACGAATATATTTGTTGTCACTGAACAGCGCGCGCGCAAACGTAACGTGTTTGTGAAATTTAATTGACAACAAACTCCGTTGTGAAAAATACATGTTCTGAACACCAATGACAACAACAAACGGTACGAATAATTCGCCCTGACGTGTTTTTCCGCCGCGAATTTCTCGACCCCGTCGCGATTTAAATGGACGCGTCGTTTGCGAAATTATCTCTTGTCTTTAAACGCCGCGCGAAAACGATCTTGCGTGGTTTCTCTTCATCGTGTTAACGTCTTCGCGTGGGCGGGAATTCTATTCGCGGAGACTCCTGGGAGAGAGTTGCAACCTCTCTCGAAAGAAACCGCAATCGAAAACTCATGAAACCGGTATTTTCTGAACGAAAGTGATTCATCGATGTGACAGGGGTCCGAAACTTTATATGATACATGTCCGGCGCGAGAATGCAGATTTCGGACGGTGAGAAAGAGAGACCGCGGAGAGCGCGCGACAATAAAATGTAAATTATCTCCAAGTGTGACAGTGATTGATTAATAATTGTTGCGCGCCTGATAATGCTCGATATCTATAAGCCGTTCTTTTCCCGGAAAAAAAAAAGCGGACCTCGCGTTCTCTTGTGAAAAGAATGATGAACTCGCGACGGACAGATAAGGTCGCGAGGATGATCCGACAGGTTCAACCTAACTGCTCCATGGCCCAATATCGTTTTGTCCGCTCGGCGAGTCCGTCTTATCTAGTCGAGTGTTCTTCGCCGACCTGCTCGCGAGCTTTGCTATTCTCGAACGCTAGGAATCGAGCGTAACGTCGCGTAAAAGAAATCCGTCGTTTCCAAAAGTGTTTCCTTTTGTTATTCGACGCGAAATCAAGTGTCCCAAGTGTTTCTCTTTTGTTCGGTGTTAACGGAGTGTTGGAAACGATCGTCAAAGTTGAAGAACTTACATTTTTCATTTTTTTTTTTTACTTTTTAACTTGAGTTTTTAATATTTCTGTTGCATTATTGTGATTTTCTCTCGCTCGCTAATAGCTTGTGCATTTAGGCCGTTATTCACACAATCCGATATTATATTTGAGATCGTCTTGAGTTCATCGCAAGATGCTGCCGTTTTATTGAGCATCTGAAGACGATCTTAAATATGAGATTCAATTTCCAAGAATATCGACCATAATCTCCCCTTTGTTACACACATCTGCATTGTTCAACACATGCCACTGTGTTATAAAGACGTTTTGCAATTTTATTTTAACATCAGAAAATTGTCAAAGAAAGTAAAACCTATGAGAAACCTCTGTAATGTCTAGACAGTGCGACGAGTTTTATCAGAAGCCGTTTTTATTCAAGTCATCAAAATTCTCGTTTGTACAATCGGACGTCAAGTGAAATTGATTGCAGATATAGCGCGGCGAAGCGATTAGATCGTATAGGATAACATTGATCTGCCAATATACACGTCGTTTGCGAAGGTAAAGAAAGGTTGATCACGTGACCACTTTTCGCGCAGGGTCATGGCGGTAAAAGAATGGTTCAGACGGCTACAGCCGGTGCAACTGTATCTCGTGCTATTCTTCACAACGACTTTCTTCGTGGTCGAGATCGTCGCCAGTCATGTGACGCACTCGCTCACTTTACTTCTCAACGCGTATCACATGCTCTGCAACATCGTGGCGCTCGTTGGCTGCATTGCCTCGATCAAGGTGAGTTGCGAATTCGGTCAGTCTTGTTTTTAAATAAGACATTTGCACGCTTGACTTTATCATATATTTATTAACGTATACACGAGCAGAAACAAGCGTCGATTTTTCGAATTTGTAATTTTGAAAGAACTCTCGAGAGAAAATCTAGGAAATCTCTTATAATTCGAGCTTGCAGTGGCACACGTATCGCTTTAATAACTGAGTCAAGTTCGCAACGATCCATTTTTTACATTTGAATTTAGCAAAGTGTAACGTGCACGCGCGATTGTGTGTTCTCGTATAAGAAGATTGATACAGATATATGAGACCTTGTGTGATTTCGCGGTGTTTTATGCGCCTTCTTATCTGTGGTTTCTCCACGGTAACAAACATGCAGTCACGCATTAATCGTATTGCTTGCAGTATAGCTATCGGGAAAAGTACAGCAGCAAAAGCAATTCCGTGGAAAACTCGTCGATCTGCATTAACGCGGAAGAACAAGGTCCTCCATTATCGTTGAAAACAAAGGTACGTTTGGCGATTAAAAAAAAAAAAAACAATAAATTACCAATAGAAATAAACAATGATGCTAACACTAACATAATTATCTAAAAATTAATATATCTATCAGCTGAAAAAGTGCTGCTGATTAAAGAAACATATTTTGCAGCAAACATGGTCCGACAAGAGAAAAATACATTTAAAAAATACATTCGGATGGGCGAGAATCGACATAGTCACAATGCTCGTTTGCTGCGTATTCCTCGCTTCCTTTTGTTTCTCTCTGCTGGTCGAAGCGGTGCAGACGTTGGTGCACATCGATCACCTGGACGAGATGCACCATCCGATGCCGGTGTTGTGCATCGGCGCTTCCGGAATTCTCGTCAACGTCTTGTGTTATATTTTAATCGGAGGATTCACGTTTAACCAGGGAGTCTTCGTGCATGTCACGAAGAGTGGCGATGTCATTCTTTGCAGGTAGATCTTTATAATATCCGAAAATTATTACAATTATTAAGAAGAATTTGTACCGTAAAAATTACGTAAAACTATTAGACTCGTACAAAACAAAAATTCTCTTTACTTCATATACTTCAGAAATGTGAATACCGAAGAAACAAAGAATGGCGAGCAACGATTGTCCGCACAGACCAGAAGAAGTCCACTGGCAATACCGAAAAGTCAAGGCTTCAAAGAAATATGTCGGGACGTTCTCGGATGCATATTCGTCATACTGGTGTCGATTTTAGTCAATTTCACCGATTCGGACGTGGCCAAGTACATCGATCCGCTTTTCGCTATTATCTCATCAATTTCGCTGTTTGTTCTCTGCTATCCGTACAGTGAGTGCAGTTTTTTTTTTCGTTAAATGCTCCGATAATTGCAAATCTGCTACTTGAACTTTATTTTGTTTTTGCAGTGAAAGAATCGGGATTAATTCTGCTTCAAACAATTCCGAATCACATAAATATTGATTCTCTCAAAAGAGAACTGTTGGAAGCTTTTCCGGGCATTGTGAACGTACACGATTTACATGTCTGGCAATTAGCCGGAGAAAAAATTATTTCGACGGCACACATCATTTTTCTAGACCCAATAGTACGCAAACTGAATCAAGTATTGCACATATTTATTTTAAATACTTCGCTTTTGGAGAGAGAAAAAACTTATTTTTAGAGAGAAACGTGAATCATTATTTGATATTTTTTTAATGCAAATTTTTCCCGCTCATTTTTAGGTTTACGCCAGTATCACTGACCAAGTCACCGCATTCTTCGTGGAAATGGGCATCACGCAAGTGACTATACAGCCAGAATTTCACAAAGTACGTTAAAAAATTCACACTTAAAAAATAATACAATTAATTACAATTGTGTATTTCGCACTAGATGAACCCTAATATGGAGAAAACCGATTGTCTGATTCGGTGCCACGGGGAGCACTGCAGCAACTCTCAATGTTGCTCGCGGGAGAATTTCTTAGAGGACACGTGCAAGTCGAAGAACTCGCACACAATTGGAAAGAAGTACGAGAAGAAAGAAGCGATATCGGCCGCGTATGCAATTAATCTCGAAAAGTTTACCATCTACGAAGAGAAGACGACGGAGAAAATTAAAACCGATCCGACACCGGAAACATCGACGAAAGAAGGAGAGAGAAAAGAGAAAGACAAAAAAGTACAAACTATCACAAGTGATAATAATGATATCAGTTCCTGTAACAAAACTGTAGCAGTGGCAACTAAAACTGACGATATCAATTTGGACCAAAGAGCCATATCTTAATTTTTTTCGTATTTTTAATAAGTATTCATGTTTAACATATTCTCTATATAAATGTGTTTATTTCTATTTGACTTGCATCTCAAACGTCAATGAAAGAAAGTTTTAAATTAAAGAAATTATAAAAGATGCATATATTTCCCGCAAAATGTTAAAAAAAAAGCCATTCCTTAGAATATTATAATAACAGAGTTAACATTCCGATATTACTGCGTCTATGCAAATTGTAATAGATACGTAAGGATATGTTCAACACGAGAAGACTGCAAGATAGTATTAAGTATTTCATTTTTTTTTTTTTGTCTGTGTTCGTACAACGCATCTTGTCGAATGATTAAAGTCTTAATTTGTTGAACTCGGACAGTACGTGTGCGACTATCAGATGAGCGATAATTTTCTTAATTGCGTGTGAGACGGGAGAAGGAACTTCTTTGTCTTTTTAATGTGACAGAGAGAATAACACAAACGCGCGCGATACATATATTTGATTAATATATTATTATATACATCAATATATTCATCGCGCGTTTGTTTAATATAAAAAACTTTTTTATTGAAATTTTAAAATTTACTCTGACATAGTGACGTTTACGAGCAATAAATTGCAATCACAATTTTTTCATATCTATGTAAGTGTTGTTAAGCATTTATGTGATACAATGAGTCTATTCAATTGTACATAAATTTCCTATATAACTTTACATGGCAAGAAATTTACAATATATTAATATGTATATTTGTAAATATATGATAAATACATATGTGTAGAATGTCTGTGGTAAAATTGCACGGTTTAATAGCTTAGTGAATAAAACACATGTAATGACAATTCGAATCATGTTCTTTTTTCTCACATAAAAATTGACACAAATGTAATATTGTAACCATTATTACTATATAAATAGATGTTTACTTCAAATATAACATATCGTAATGTTATTATGTTAACGATAAAAAAGAACAACAAAACTAGACTTGATTAATTACTTGACAAAAATTTGACAAGACAACAAAGCTCTGAAGATAATGTGTGTCACATGCTAATGACAACAGTTCCTGACGTGATAAGTGAAGGCGTTAATGAGTTAAAATCTGTCGATAGTAAGAGAGACCCACAACATCCATAGGCGTCCGCAGGGAGGGGCAAACCCGGCATTTGCCCTCCCTGGAGAGGCAAGTTTTTTTACAAATTTGTATTTTTTATCTTGAAACAAGCTTGAGATCCCTGGTTAACAAATTAAATCATACATCTATTCGTGAAAATCTTTTGTACAATAAAACCTTTCTGTAAAATTCATAATTTTTGGGACGGAAAAATTGCTCCGCCCATTCCAGAAAAAAATTCTGTGGACGCCCATAACATCCTATCTAAGGATACAGATATATTGTAGAAAAATATCGGAAATACGAGAGACGCAAACATGATAAGAAGAAGAAAAATATTTGTAATAGATATTAATATACAATACATTTTAAATATATCAACATAGTTTTATATAAAAATTAACATATGTTTTAAAAAAACTTGCAGATTTATTATAGAAAGATTTGACAAGTTTTATACGTTCAAATACTTGCAACTGTTTAATATAAGAACGTAAGAACGTAACACAAGAACGGAAATTGTGGTTCTGACATAATTCGCTTTTATTAGATATATGTATTCAGAGAAATTTCTATGTAAACTTCCCTGGTGATGTAACATATTAAATAAAATATTACATTAGCAGGAAAAAGCTCAGAGAAAAATTATTCTATACATTAAATTACCTAGAAAAGATAAAAAATAAAGAACTAAAAAGTGAAATAATTATTCTTGTGGTAACTCCTGTGTGTTTTATAAATTAAAAAATTGGCAGTTTGGTAGACAAAGCACCATTTTCAATGTGTGTTGTGCCGAAAATATCAGACTATATAAACCCTCTAGCGAAGAACGACTGTAAACAAATACACTTCTATTTCTAGCATTTCCTCATTCTTCTTAAGAATGTAAGTTTTGGTAAATGTTATATGCATGCAAAAAGCTTTTTTTTTAGTCATTTGCAAATTTGTCTTAATTGTGTAATGAGAAAGACTACACACAATAATTTTATTTGGCGAAAAATCTGTTGAGTTAAGTACATGTAATTTTTTTTAAGTATAAATATTTAACTTAATAGATTTTTGGCAAAATATAAATTACAACAAATATTTCCAGTATCGTAGAAAGTGTCGGTATCAGTTGACCGTTTGTTTAGTTTGCGATAAGAACGACGCGATTGGTGACTGATCTTACTAGCGACTCTCTGAGAAATCAGCGTACAGTCGAGTGTAGCGGTATTGTAAGGCTAATGTTGAGAGAGATGACGTCGTCTCTTCGATAAGTTGTAATGGGAAACCGGCCGGGTGGGGCTTGCTCATGAGTGGCGTCCATCGCTACTCTAGTGTGAAAGTGGCCGTAGACCGGAGTAGAGAGATCGGGCCCGTCTCATGTAAGAGACTTTCGGGACCAGTCCTCAATTCGTAGTGATGTTCATCGAGCGACATTGTGATGTATAAAAAAAAATGTGAAGATTATTTGTAAAGTGTTGCGAGAAATAAAAATGCTGCACCACGCAGTTACCGCACGACTGGTTCTTCTCCTCGTCCTCGCGCTCTTTCAAGGTAATCAACGCTACCTGACACATCTGTACGTGCGCGACAACGTGTCTGCTTTCGCGTGTGAGACACATATTTTATTGAAGCGTTCACGTGATCTCATTGAGTCACATTTATTAGTGTTGCGGATTTTATTCGATGCGTACTTTTAAATATTCAGAGTACCGATGTGTGATTCTGAATAGAGTTGAAATAATAACTAGAGATAAAAAGAGATAAAGAGAAAGAAAGTTTAATGAAAAGAATAGCTTGTCATAGAAAAAATAAAAAAGAGAAAGAATCACAGATTCTTACAGCAGGCGTTCGAGAGATATTCATTGAATATTCTCCGGTTCTCTCGTAATCCAGTAAATATCCATGAGATATTCTTGGCATATATCGTGTGCTGTATGGGAATTGACATAAAACTTTTATATCCGCGCATCTGCGTTCGTAATTTCACCGAAAAGAATATTTGTTTTTAAAAATTCTGTTCTTGATAACGTATCGTGTGGAAAGTTTTTTCGACGATAAGCATTGAACCCGAAGTTTATCGAAAGAATTAAAAATCGTTTAAGTATTACGTTTTATAAATGGTTTTTTAATGTGGCACTGCAAAACACGGTTGGAGTGAATGCAATGTGAATCACTCTGAAAAAAACGGTTTTTTTTCTTTAAGTCCTCGAGATTTTTTCACGTACATACACATATACACATCTTGATAGCGCTAATCTATCAACAAAAGACGCTAAAGTTTTTCACATGTGTTTATTTAGGGTGATGTATTAACACGGAAATAATCAAATAAGTTTTTAATATAAATTTAATATATCGATTTAAATGTATTTTTTGAATTATAAATTAGCTTTTCTTCTTGTATAAAACTATTGATTAAAATCAAACATAAAATAATAAACAAATATATAAATAAATGTATGTATAAATGTAAATGTTTAATCACATAAACGTATATGTGTAAGGCTATTTTAAAATTACAAAAAATTGCATTAAATAAAAATCATACATACACTCGTAATATAAAAAATTATATGTTTATCATGTTTTTCTGGTTTGATTAGCACTCAATTAGCGTTAACAATCAAATAAATGCTGCGGATTTCATATTCCGGGAAATGAGAAAAGACAATATTGCTTTTCCAAATTCTATTAAGAACATTGTCTATTGAGTTCATAGATCATACATCAAATTACATTCAATATATATACGTGTCTTGTTATCTCTCATCGGTTTATCAGTCAAGAAACTTCATTGAACTTATTGGTGGAGTTTCGTTAGGCGTTCCAACAAGTGGCGATAATTTTATTAAGTGGTCTAGTAACATGATCAATGAATGCAACGACGAGGTCGTAATAAAGGAACTTATAAGACGTACTCAGAAAAGCACATATGCACAGCAAGAGAATCATCTCTGAAACACACGTAGCAAAAAAAATACTACGTTATTGGCTGCATTTGGAACGAGTCATGCATGATTAGTCACTTCTTCATCTGCAAAATATGTTCGATGACAACATACGCAGAATAACTCTAGAAAAAATTAGACGTTATTAATAACACCAGCGTGTATTGCAATCTTTGCGCTACTACAAGTGTCTGACATTCTGTTAAAACTTTGGAGCATTAAAAATTTAAATTCATGTCTTTAAATAGAAAATAATTAATTAGAAACTAATAATTAATTAATTAGAAATTAAGTGTAACTATTGACCTGTAAAATATAATGTTTTAAATTATATTTTAAAGGTAAAAAAAGTTTCTAACAAAAGGAGGATAACATTAGTTTTACGCAACTTGTACAAAAATCGCTCGTATCATATTTATGCACATGACAATGCAATGATTACGCGAAAGTAAACATCTCGCCGTACCACGCTTGTGTACATTAACTTGCATGTTAATTTTTTTTTCTTCATCTGAAATTATTGTTGAGAATGAACGTGAATCTCCATCCGCTTGGGTTTCCCGTGCGCTTTATAACTTCTGTACACAAGCAAAGTACTGGTTGATAATATTATTATCAGAAGAGGAAAGCAGAACTTCCTTCCACATTAATAAGCGTAGTAACAAACCGACGGCACGTGCGTCTTTTTTGTACAGAAGAGCAACGAAGAGAGCACGATAATGCCAATCATCCGCAGGACATTGCGGCTACCGCGACAGTGGTTCTCTCAAAACTTGACTATGGTATTCGTCATGTGTACATAATGGACATATGGCAAAAGAATTTGACAAATTTGAGTTTCACATTGTTGCGAAATAGAAAAATTGCGATTTGAAAATAGATATTCAAGTAATGTGTGTATTAAAAATATCAAGAAAAAAAATACATATGTATGTATGTTCTTGTTAGATAACAAAAAATAAACGTGAAAATCCACAAAACATAAAATATTACATATTACACATTATTGCTAGAAAAGAAATAAATTATTTTTATATTTTTTTATTACGTGTGAGAAGTAAAATAATTTTTATATAAGTACATATATATACATATATATAAAATAAAAAATATAAAATAAAAAAAGAAATAAAAAGAGTAACATTACTGGAAAGTTTGTAAATCTTAAGCTAAAGTTTAGCTTACGCATAAACCACAGCTTATTGTTAATTGAAAAATACAAAGTGTTTATACGAACGATTATATTTTTTAGTGTCAAATGGGAAACCAATTATCATTTCGCCAAACCAAACAGAAATCGTAATAAACGAAGGAAGTCTGCTGGAAATTACATGCATCAGTATCAAACCAATTAAATTTGTTTATCCAGATATAATCGAACGCACGGTAGGTATTGTAAATTTTATTTTATAGTAGCCGGAATTGTATATATGTCTTTATTTAAAAGTTTGCGTACTTTAACAGAGTAACGCATCGGTAAAAGACGAAATCGAAGAAAATGGCATTTTTAAATACGTCTTCCAACGACCGAACACCGTTTTCAGCGACACAGGCTGGTATGGCTGCGCCGATAGTAACGTCGAAATATCAAGTTCTCACAATCATTTAAATGACAATTCCGAGATCAACTGGTTGTATGTTTACGTAGAATGTAAGATCAAGTGATCAATTTCTTAATCAATCAATACATTTAAATTCGCATCTTTGCTCTTGTTATATACTTAATCATTTTTGTTGCACAGCTCCGACCCATTTCTTCGTTGAGGAAGATATGATCTCACTTACCGCCTATGTCGGTGACGATGTCGTTCTTCCATGTCGAACTACATCGCCGAATTTAACGCCCATCTTGACGATTCAGAATGTGAGTATGTTAAATAAAACTTGTGATCAATTTATTTTTACTTAAACATTCACAGGTTCCCAAACGCGCGCGCGCGCGCGCGCGCGCGTTTGACTTTTGTTAATAAAATAAATAATAAAAATAGCTGTTCAGTACTTTAACACTAGAACAACGCTAGAACACTAGAGTTTAATACGTAATATTTTATACTTTTTTCTTGTTAAAATAAAAATAATATATTTGTAAGAAATGTTCTCATTTTTTAAACTCGTCTTTTTGATAGATTGTTCTATCTATTACATTTAGAATATAAAACGTTTATAATGTCTAAATGTGTTTATAATTCGCAGACTGACGTGGTGAAAGAAACGTCGTTTGACCCGAAGATTGGCGTCACCTTAAAAAATATAACAGTGAAAGATAGCGAGTGGTATCAGTGTAAGATACAGAAGGACGACATAGAGCACGAACTCGATGTCATATTGACCGTACATTGTAAGTACAATTGTCTCCTGAGATGTTAATTTAAGCTCTCACATAAAGCATCGAGAAATACTGCGCATCATTAAGAGCAATTATAATAGTTAAAATTTTGCAATAAAACGCCGCGGTAATTTTTATTTAATCAAACTGCGAATGTTTGTTAACACAGTGAAACGAAGCCTACCTACGCCAATCATTCTCGACGAGAGCCTACGTCACGTTACACGCGGAAACGATCTTTCCGTAAACTGTTCCGTGGACAACGTAGACTCGTCTATGATATTCATACTAGACTGGATAACACCGAAACACGTAAGTTTTTCTGGCTTATATCTTTTTGATTACAATATTTATATATCACTTGTGTCTATTTTTATAGTTGGAGAATAGTTCGAGAAAAAGTATTAAAGACTTCAATGAAAGACACGTAAATAATCATCTAGTTACGAAACAACTGACCATTCGTAACGTGACAGACAATGATGCAGGAGAATACACGTGCTCCATTAAGTCGCTTCACGAAACAAAGACAACATCCAGAAATATCACGATACATGGTTAGTTGCTAATTTAGTCTTTACCTTGATATAATGTAATTTCACATTAAAAAATTATATATTTTATAATTCAATTTTCTGTATAAATCAGCAAAAACAAAAAGAATCAATTTTTTTTGGCTTTTAGACCCTGAAATAAAATATATTAATCTCACATCTCAGCATAGTGACAATTACTACGAAGGCAAAGAGCGAGAAAACATTCAATGGGTCGTTTATGTCGATGGCTATCCGAAACCAACAATACAATGGTAATATATTTATTAACATTTGTGCGTAACATTTGAATATTTTGAACACTTTTATGGTATCGAATATAGGTTTAATCCAAATGACGAGGTAATTACGGAAAGCGAAAAAAGATTCGACGTAACCACTACCACAACGGTGACCATTTTGAAAATACAATCGTTAAACATAAATGACGCTGGCAGTTATATACTTGAAGCAAAAAATGAATATGTGATCAAACGGCTGAATTTTACACTGGTTGTCATGGCTAAGCCGGTTGCTTTACTAACGGACATTGAGGCCTACTATGCGCCTTACGAAACTGCAGAATTTCAGTGTAGAATAATGGGTTTTCCACGCCCGCTTATAACGTGGACGTTTTTACAATGTCCCTATTACCCTTCTCTTAACGATTCGCAGACAACAGAGCTGACGGTAAATGCAATCTTATATCAATCTCTAGAATAAAAGATTAAATTTTATAAAGATCTTGATAATTATGAAGTTTTGAAAAAAATGTTTGAAAAATAAATAAAAAAAATCCATGAGTTTTACAGGACGTAATGGAAAGTACATCATTCAAGTCTGTAATCACGTCGGTCGCAAAACTGCCGATCACCATGTCCGGAAAAATAACATGTCAGGCTTGCAACGATCTTGACTGCGATTCTGTGACTGAAAATATTTTAGTTTCCGGTATAATAATTATTACTGTCCAATTGTTTTGTTTGTTAACAAGCTGTAATGTATAATACGTTTTAAGAGATTAATATATATCAGTTTTTAAATTTTGCAGATGGCCTGGGTGCGTTTGGCATCATTGGACCGAACATGGTAACAGGAGGCGATGACGTGGAATTAATTTGCGCGGCTTCCGTTTACAATTACACTGAGAATCTCTCTTGGCAAGATCGGACTGAGGCTGCAATTGAAGAAACAGGTAATCAGAGAACTAAAATGAGCACTGTGAGATAAGATTGAGAAGTTTTAGAAGATAAAAATAACATAACACCAGTGATAAAAACTTAAACCTACAATATAAAATTGTATATTCAACATTGATTATACACAATCTTTGTCAATTTAGAAAGAATACAAATTATGAGACACAAAACTAACTTCACTTATCGATCGACCTTGAAGATCAACAATGTGACGAAATCGGACTCTCAGCTTTACACATGCATCGGACAATGCACATCTCACAATTTGGAACTTCTTTCCGATTACGCAACCTACACACTGATTGTCAACGGTAAGTTAAAAAAAAACATTCCAATGTAATCACGTCGATTGCGTGATTAATTTTTTAAGAAAACCGGAATCATTCAATTTCCCGCTTGAAATATTATAATAAAGCACAAAAAAGTGTTTTTTTATGTGCAAAAGAAATATATTGAATGAACTATTTTTTTTATGTAGATCCAAAGAAACCGTATTTTACTGCAACCAACATGAACCAGTCGAAGACAGAAATCAATGTCAGAGAAGAGAAGTACAAAACAATAATTTTAAATTGCTTTGCGCAAGGAATGCCGAAACCAAACATCACATGGTTCAAGGTACATATATCATGCGTCTCGTAACTACCCTCTCTTATAGAAATTTATTTCTTAGCCAAAAATAAAAATATTTACTTTGAATGTTAAAATCACTGCGAACATTGAAAATTTTTTTTTAAGTTGTTTTATTCAAAATAGTCTACAATTTTAATTTGTTGAATTTTCGAATTTTTCAGAACGATAAATTAATAAAAGAAAATGATCAGTATTTGTTCAAATATAATTTTCAAGAGCTCAATATAAAATACATCAACGAAAGCGGAAAATATTCGTGCCGAGCTTCTAATCGAGTGGGTTACGTAGAAACTTATCAAGAGATAATAGTGAAAACATGTAAGTTCTATCAGAAATCTGTCGCAGTTATAAAATAATAGGAAATGTGACAAAAAAGTAGAAATTAAAAACCGAACTCTCTTTGTTACAGGGCAGGAATTTGACATAATATTAAGCGCAATAATAGCGATTATGGCTGTCATTGTGGTGATTTTGGTAATGCTTTTTATGATCAAAGTTCGCCGCGAAAAGGTACATATAAATTTTTATAAAATTCATATGCCACTTACAAAAATATTAAAAATACAATGTTACACTGCGAGAGTAAAACTTCTAGCGCGCGAACGTTGTCGAACAAAACATAACATTAAATAATTACAGATGATGAGGAAAGCGTTAATGGAAACTGGTCTTATGCACTTTGAAGAAGGTGCTCTGGAATGTTTGAATCCAGAGTTGACGGTTGACGATCAGGCGGAGCTGCTGCCTTATGACAAAAAATGGGAATTTCCAAGGGAACGATTAAAGCTCGGTACGCGCAATAATCTCACGTGACGCTAAAATATCGACTAATTTAGTTTTGTAAACATTTCAATATGTATCTCTCGATTTCTCACAGGAAAACAATTGGGTAGTGGAGCGTTCGGGGTGGTCATGAAAGCGGAAGCGCAAGGAATATGTGAAGAAGAAACCGTCACTACTGTCGCGGTAAAAATGGTTCGCCGAACCACTGATCCGACGTACGTTCGCGCGTTAGCGAGCGAATTGAAAATTATGGTCCACCTTGGCAAACATCTCAACGTTGTCAATCTTCTCGGAGCTTGCACTAAAAACATTGCCAAACGTAAGTCTTGCCCAGAAATAATTCATTTTTTACTTAAACTTTATATAGAGAAGCGATGTAAAATAATTGAAACACTATGTTATGTAGGCGAGTTACTGGTAATTGTCGAATATTGCCGCTTTGGGAATTTACATAATTATCTATTGAGACACAGATCGAATTTTATTAATCAGATCGATCCGAAAACTGGAAAACTCGATCTTACTGTGGGTATGGACATGCTGACCAGATCCGCCAGTGTCAGTAGCAATAACAGGTTTGTTCACTGATCATGTCTCAAATAGTCTGTTAGATTGCCAACTATCCACACTTGCTTTGTCCTCTGTAGAAAAGTATTAATAATAATAACTCTATTGACTTCTTTGGGGTTACAACAGCTTCCTGTCTTTAATAGATTAAATATTAAAAATTAAATACTAAAATTTATATAAAACAAAATCGACACACAATACAAAAGCAACATAAAAATGTGAGTAGTTGTTTTTCTCTGTCTACCTTACAAAATGTTGCTATCAGACTAAAATCGAAAACTTAACATTTTTTGCACGTTTCTAAACTTTTAGCTGCTCTCTCCTCACGACTTAAATTTCATGAGTCTTTCACAACACACACTAACGTGCACACACTAACGTCACAGAAAATATATTATTTCTGTTACTTAGATCTAATTTTGCTATATAATTAACATCCCCTACATTCACTGAATATGTGCACACGAACCTGGTGCATGCAAGGGGCTATGGTCTAACAAAATTCTTCTTTTCTCTTCTGCCCACGTGACAGGATAAAATATGCGGCATTATCCTTTTCTCGCAGTAGTAGTGCGAACTCGGCCACCGACACGGTGGTTCATTATTCCCCGGGCACAGGCCCGGATTCTCAGGAGATCAGTTTCTCGCCGGACGGTTGTCTTCTTAGCAACAATTCGTCTCAACCAGGATGGCGATCGAACTATCGCGGCGACTACAAGGAATACAATCTCAAGCCGATCTGCACTCAGGATCTATTGTCTTACGCGTTCCAGGTAGCGCGCGGTATGGAGTATCTCAGTCAGAGAAGAGTAAGTTTATGTATCAATGACGTTTTTTTTTATTTGACATTGATTTCTTTTGAGAATTTAATTAGTTTTTTATCTTTTACTGAGATAAAGACCGAATATTCAAAACATTTAACTTCGCATCACAATAGAAGATTGAAAGGATAAAAATTTGCGCATAAAAAATCAGCGCTTGGTTCAATTTGGTTTCTTTTTAATTTAATTTTAATTTAAACACATGTTGATAAACGATTTATTGAAAGGTGCTGCACGGCGATCTGGCGGCAAGAAATATTCTGCTCGCCGAGGACAACGTCGTGAAAATTTGCGACTTCGGCCTCGCGAAGACCGTGTATAAAGACGGCAATTACAAGAAGAAAGGTGACGGGCCGTTGCCCATAAAGTGGATGGCCATCGAGTCGATCAGAGATCGAATCTTCTCGACGGAAACGGACGTGTGGAGTTTTGGAATTGTACTTTGGGAATTTTTCACTTTGGCCGAAACTCCATATCCAGGGATGGAGGCCGAAAAACTGTATCAAAGATTGATCGAGGGTTACAGAATGGAGCAACCGGAGTACGCCCTTCGCAATGTATACGACATAATGTTGCAATGCTGGAAGGCGAAGCCTACACTTCGTCCGACTTTTACAGAACTTGTGGACAGCATTGGTGATCTCTTGGAAGAAAGTGTGAGATCGGTAAGTTATTCTTCGCTCTGATTTTACGAGTATTTGAATTTTTATGTGCAAGAATGACTAGATTTGTATATTAATTTAGAAAAAAAATGTCTGAGACCACCAATATACGTACTTCTATGAAAAATTACTTGAAACGTATACGTCTAAAAGAAACATCTTTCATTTCTGCTTCAGCATTACATCACTCTGAACACGCCGTATATGGATATGAACACAACGAATCTGGAGGGCAAGAACGACTACCTGACGATGATGTCCGCGCCGACTCACGCGGCCCTGTTATCGCCGAGCCACGATTACGTAAACTCGCCGTTCTCGGAAAACGCGCCGGACTCGACATACTTGTGCATGAGCCCCGGTTGTCAGTCTCTGAACGAGTCCGGAATATTTAGTCCCAGACCGCATCAGGATCAAACGCGCTTCGAATTCCCGTCCCCGGTGTCGGATTCTGAGGACGCTGTCGAGATATCCCCCATGTTGAAGCACGAGGAGGATCCCTATCTTAAGCCGATTAACATTCACGAGCGAAGAGCGGAGTTCGCTCGGCAGAGACAGACGATGAAGAACCAGTCGGTCGAGAGACCGATCGACCGGGATTCCGGTTATTGCAACACGCCGCGAAATCTTCACCTGATAGATCTGAACGACGCGGAAGACAAGCAAGCGGATGAGACAATAATAGACACGAAGAAAGATTACACGCCGTCTATTATCAGAACGCAAGACAATTACGTGAACATGCCGAAGCAGAAAAGCGATCTGAGAAACGGCATGCCGGATGCCTTCAGCAATCCTAGCTACGTGATGATGAAAGATAATCGAGAGATGGATCAGACGGTTTAAGTCGCTCAGAAAGTTTTATCTATGTGTGTGTTTTTTGTATATTTGCAAGTTTCCACCTAAGTGACTTTTTATACTAACGTGTACTTGTATATGTAATGGATTATAATATAATGGATTCTAAGGCATATAATAGTTCACTTAGTTTATCGCAAAATGTCTCTCAATCAACGTGCCATGACCAGTAATAGTGTATCAAGAATCCATCACAGTGACTACAAAGAAAAAAGATAATTGCTGGATGGCGTGTAGAAGGGCGCAAAACTTGTAATTTTATTTATTTTTGTCCGACGTACTTTATAGGTACTTAAGTGTAAGTACATACATATAACGCAAATGCTTTTATTTATACAGTTTTAACATATCACTCTTTTGACATGCGTAGAATCTTTTTTTACGATTAATTGTTAGATGTATGTTATCTTTCTCAAGAAGATTAATAGACCGGCCCAGTGGTCTCGCGGCCTGAGTACAGGGACTGCGAACCCGGAGGTCTCGAGTTCTCGAATCCGCCTGAGGATTTTTTCCGGGCCGGTCCTTTTTAACCGAGTTTATCGGTGTTTGATTATAATTATACAAATTGGCATCACTATAAATAGTGATTACATATTACACAAAAAAGATGATAATTAATTTACAAAACACAAGTGTTTTGTTTTTATATTTTCGCAAACAAACTTGACATTGCATAATAATTATTTTTCATAAAATTAAAAATATTAATATTAATTATCATCTTTTTTGTGTAATATATGTATAAGATATAAGATAAAAGTACCTTAATTTTTACTGTACTTAATACTCACATAATGTCTAAACTTTAGTTTGTAATCACTATTTATAGTGCAAATTTGTATAATTATAATCAAACAAGCCTATTCTGTAACTTTTAACACACGAGTCACGCAAAATATTTGTGATACATTTGTCTTGGCGAGGACAAAAATGTTTCACAAAATATCCGCGCAATGATACGTTGACCAAATTTATCGTTACAAATTGCGGAATAACAGAGCAATTAATTCAAACGATTATGTAATTATCCGCAATCGTTTTAATTGAAAGACTCACGAAATTTTGTACAAATATAAAATATAAGATTTTGGATACATATATATCTCTGTGTAATTATTTCTATAAAAAAATCATATAAATTTGAATAACATAAAAATTAACAAAAATGTTAATTAGACATTTGTTAGCGTGTTTTTATTAATAATTTATTAGTACATTATTGTGAGAGGAAAAAGACTTCTCAGTATGTATTTAAAAAAAACTGTTCTCTTATACATAGAAGATCAAAGAAACGAGAGAGAGAGAGAGACTAGTTATCGTCTTCTTTCCTCAGGATATTGTGGTCAAGAAATTCCCTTACTTTTTTTAGCACGCTAATTAGCTTCGTAATGCTTATAGCTAACTTTACGAATAATTTGACTCTCCCGATAAAAAAATATGTTGTGTACGAGGATTAATTAAATTTTCGGATCTATCTCATCTGTGATTCTAATGGAATACGGTACATCGTGTATTGTGGTGTTGCTACGAAAACAACCGCGTCGTTTAATGACATCTTTAACTAAATTCTGTTTGTACGTTGCCCATCTGAAATAAAGACCAGAATAGTGCGAGAACATATGTATAAGACTCAATATAATTATAGGAGAAATCTAAAAAACAACTAACAATTACACTTCTAGTTGAGATCTAAGAATATTAAAGAACACTGCAATTATCATACTTTCGATTTAGAAGAAATTTCTCAAACAGCTGTTCCTTAGTCGGATATTTCGAATCCATGAACAGTTTTACGCGTCCCCAGATATTAGCGCGATTGTGTTTGAGCAGCCAATATCGCGGAATGAGAAAACATCGTACTGGCGTAATCGCCACGATTCTTCGATTGAGCATATTTTCTCCTGATTTAATTAACATTTACTGTTGCAATGTTGATTGATTGAAAAACGAAAGCACAACACAAAAAGAGAGAGAACTTTAGAACTTATTTTTCTCTTACCTAAGCCCAAACACGCACCTCGAGAAAAAATGCAGATTTGCATGAAAATAGTGCGTACGTCGCTCGGATAACACAATTGAGATGTAACAGATGGTTCTCGCATTAATATTGCCGCAACATCCGTAATTTCATGCCAAGCTTGAACCTTCGGTTTTAAAATGGTCTTATTACCATAAATTATTACAATACTATTACCATAAATTATTGCTTTAAATTGCTAATAGACTTATTGATAACAGATAATGAAAAAAAATTTATTTGATCACTTGCTTTCGATTCAAGATTCTTAGTTGTCTATTGCAGAATCGTGTCGAGATCAGAAGCAAGCAAAATGTGAAAAAAAAACTTGAATGAAATTTTATTGTATGCAATTTGCATTGAATACAGTACACTAAACATACATTAGCTTCTTTTTGACATGCAATAAATTATTCAAATGCAATAAATCGGTAATTCGTTGTTTGTCCACATATGTAAAATATTTTGTGTGATTTAATTTGCATATTACGTACATTTACAACAAACATAATATCAACATATTTTCCAATGTAAATTGCGTGACATTTTTCTGATTTCTTGCTCCTACTATATAATTTTGTACAATACTATTCAAATTTATACAGTAATATTTCATTATTGTATGAATTTCAATTTTTATGTAATTTCAATTTTTTTATAATATTTTCAATTGTGGCTAAAAATAAACTCAGAAGCTTTAATTAATTAAAAAAAGAGAGAAAGTTATTTTAATTATAATAAACTTTAATTTACTCTAATGTACAATATTAATTAAATGTAATACTGTAGGTACATATACTCACAACATCCAGAAGTGTAGTGGTAACGATACTTAGTCGATCAGACTCGATGTTTATCTCATTCGATGTCTGCAACAATTGAAATAAAGTCAATCAAACGCGTAATTCATCAATACAAGTTAATATTATTAAAACTAAAACACCTAAAGGCGTGCAACTGAATGAATAATATATCAAAAACGACGCAGCGATGAAAAAACAATTGCAAATTAAATATGACGCGAGAGAAAACTGTTTTCATTAACACCACATACTTCATTGAATGTGTTATATAATTTTGCTTCGGTTAATTTCAACTTGTCAGAACTCGCAGGTTTTTTCGATACTGTTCTGAGTTCTTGCGGACCGGGACTATCAGCATTGTACAATTCAAATTGCGCTCCGTGATAAGAAGAACGCTCGCGAACAAGCAGGTGCTCGATAAGACGGCACTCGCCATGTAGAATAAAATGCACATAATTCACCATGCCTTGTCCGTCGCCCAACAGAATCTTTCAAATTAATTCGTATTTTACAAGTCGAGAAATCTTTTTGCAAAATAATTACAAAACTTACTACCGCCATTTCATTTACCTCGTTAGGTTTAAATTCCTTCAACTTGCTCAGAATGCAACATTCTCGCACGGTTTCCGCGTCCCACGTTCTAAAATAATCGAAATGAACCAACGCGTCGCGAAGAACATCCCATTCTTTTGTCAAAGTACTACGCAGAATACTGTTGAAATCGTCCTGATCAATTAAAAGCAAATCGACCGACGCTAAATATACAAAACAAAAAAAAAATATTCAAATAACATATATGACAATCGTGTATTAATACGCTATTATTATAGTTTCGCGATTTTTACTAACTTTTACTAACTACCGTTGCTGTTCTCGGTATCTCGTGAAACAATGCAACTTCACCAAACATGTCTCCCGACTGCAGTATTCCCATATCTACAATTTTCTCATCGCCTAATAAAAGACACTTTTATTATTCGTTTCTAATTTGCGAGAAATTTGTAGAAAATTAATAAAAAAAAAAAGCACGTGATGTACAAATTAAAATATTGCAAAGAACATAAGACACGTTGTTTATCAGTGACTTTGAGACGTTTTATTTTTATTAAATAAAATATGAGTTTCTTATTTGAATTGTTTGTTTTATTAAATATATAAAAATTCACATGCGGCTTTTCTCACCTGTTAATTCGTCAATCTCGACTCTTGACAAACTAACTTCGCCATTTATAATGTAATAGAGATTTACCGCTTTGTAACCCTGACGAACTATTGTCCGACCAGCCGGTAAATATTGATACATGCATACCGTTGCCAAATCTTCTCTCAAATTCTCCGGATATTTTGTGTAAGCGCGCAATTGTCTTATGAGATCGTATATGTACATCCTGTCTACTCTGGATCTCAGAGACGGTCTCACTAACAGTACCGATCGATCCTTGAATCAATGTATTTTCTACTAATATACGCATTACGAAATTCTGACTTTTTATCTGTTTATTTTTATCTTACAATTAGTTCTTTTTAGATCTTGCGAGTGCCTTGCTCGAATACCTGTAACTTAAGTTTTGTCTCTAATTTATACTCCTTTCGGGTAGCCTCTCTGATTCTAACTGTCACGTCGTCACTAATTTCCTCGATCTCCGGATCTCCCATGATCCATTCCATATATTCCATAACGCGTCGTACCGCCGATCGAAACAAATAACGACCTCTCAATCTCTCGGGCTAAAATATACTCAAAGAAATTCTAACATTTTTGAAAATACAAAACGATCTATAACCCTAAAATTAGTATCAATTTCTTGAAAAGCTTGCAATATACACAATTTTATATGTTTCGCGGGATATGATATGTATAAATTGTAATCTATTACGTAATGTATTATGTAATAAATTATATAATTGTATTAATTATATTTTGAAATGTCGTGGCAATCATTGTCTCACCCTCAGCAACAGCAAAGTCTTTCTTGCCAACAATTTGCTGGCGAACGATTGTCGCAAAGTACTTTTCCTTGCTTTGTACAAAGACATTGTGTTAAAAACCCTCGATTAACTCTTGTAAGTAAAATCAACGTTAATTTTTTTCACAAACACGTGTGCACAACACGTTGTCCATAATGTCTAGAACGATCACAAAGTGACGTTTAGTTACGCGACTTGTTTGATCGATCATTTCACACAAACTACACAGCATTCGGTCGACTATTTAATTTTAAATTGCGGTCACAACGTAATCAATCGATTATAATTATCTTAATCGTAGATTTAAAAAAAAGTCATAATTATTACTATTTTAATTGTTTTTTTATTAGAAATTCTTGAACTCGCCTTAATAAATATTCTTATAATAATATGCGCGTAATACTTACATCAATAAATTGAAGATACTTCGAAAAACAATTTTTATTTGCGATACTAGCAGCACTCGATGTGAGATTTCCTACTAGTCATTAAACTATTTTCTTATCATATATATAGTAATGTCTCAACTCTCGGAGACGCACAGTTACAATAAAATATGTGTCCCTACTTGGCACATAGAAGCAATCAATATAATTTTTTTCTTTTTTTTTGAAGAGTGATATCATGCCACTCATAATCAAAGTACTCAGTACAAAGTTCTTGTTTTTATTTTATAGTGCTTATACAGCAGAATCCTGCTGTAAGTTCAGATCAAATGATATTTGTAGCACAAATGGATATGAAAAATATGCACAAGTATTGAATAAAATAAATTCTTTTTATGTTTCGCTAATTCGATATTTCGAGAAATCGAGAGAATTAAAATATCGCATCACGATACTATATATTTAATTTTGAGCGCATTTTTTTACGCGTTTCTATCTTCGAATACAATAAGTGCTTAATACAGTGCTTATCTTGAAACGATAATAACGCGAAAAATACAGGAACAATTCGAACTTGTATTTGTTCGTGTCGCGCGCCGGCTATTTTGGGGGCAAACGGCCGCAAAACTATTTCGCCGTAAAACTCATTTGTTATTGCTACCGGCGCGTGCGCGATGTTAATTATGTATTATTCCGAACACCCGACACTTTGTAGCACATATGTATTATTATGTATTAACGATGTATTTATACGCAAGAATTGCAAGAAATCTGTCAATTTGAAAGAAAAGTTTACTTCGCGTATTGCGTGTCTATCTAGGGTGCGTTTAGTTTGGGCGCTTTCTCGCTTAAAAGCAGGTCAATGTCGTTCACTTTGGCGCTCATGAAAAGCAAACGACGTCATTGATTACGTCATATCTTTAGCTTACAAGCGCTTATTCTATCGAGATAAGGCAGTTGAAACGTGAGCGCTTTGTTTAAAAAAAAAAAACACTCTTGCTCAATAGCAAAATAGCTGCGGATAGTTCTAAACTTTGAAAACATGTCTTTCAATGCAATGACAAAATACCGGTTATGTTAACGGATATGACAAATACATATACAATTCTGGTATCACCAGATGAAGCAAAACATTTAGAAATTGGTAAGTATAGTATTTTTTTTTTATTCTATTGTTGTGTTGCTTTTTTACATATTTTTGTGACAAAGTGATTATTTTGTTTTAGACGATACTTTTGCAAATACTTTGCTGCAAAGTAAAATATACTCGTAAGCGTTCAAACTAAACGCACCCCTAGAGTGAAAATATATCGAAATGCGATTCTCGAAGTCAACCTGCGCGCGTAATTCAAACGCTTGTTCTATCGACTGAAGATAACTCGTTTTATCAACCGAACATAGCTACGTAGTTCACAAGCTATGCACATCTCGACGCTAATAGTATTATTTCGTTTAAACTTACGTATATAAATGTATAGATTATAGATATACGCAAAGTGTACGATTTTTTCTTGTTTTATTTAAACAAACAAACGGGCGTAAATAAAATCAGACAAACAGATTTGGATTCAATATATCAAAGTATCTTATTTGATGAAAAATTTACACAGTTTGCAAAATTATACGTTGATAATTTTACTAATTGAAATTGTTATTATGTTTTTTTTTTATTAGACATTTTATATCTTAAAAGTTTAATTGTTGTCACGTAATGTAAAGTAATGAAATATTTTTATTGAAAAAGTGATGTCAGTTTGCAATAAATTATCGCTATCAATCCAAAGAAAATTGTATATGCAACAATATGCTTGTCAGAATGTTTATTATGCATATTTGTAAAACAATTGCTTATGACGCAATAAAGATAAATATTATACCATTTGGCAAAACGTCAGCAGTATGTACGCGTTTATGTGTCAACGCAACTACACGTACATATATTTAACAGTAATCAATTTCAAAGAATCCCCGTATACTCTGTAGCTGCGTTCGGGGAACGCGTTATCTGCGTTATTTTTACGTCATTTTATCCTTGTTTTACATTCAATTATCGATAGAGATAGAATGATATAATAAACGCACTTCCTGAACGTAGCCCGCGTCATTTGGTATTCGGTGCTCGGCGTACGCAGGTGGGGTATTGATCTCATTTGATGCTGGCGGCATCCACGTGGTCTCCAACGTGTAGTGATAATCTTTAATCAGTGCTATTTGCAATAAATCCAATTACAATGGTAAGCACGTATTGACGAATAGACACAAATTTCTACTGTGAAATATATTTACGATTTATACGCACATAAGTTGAAATCACTGTGTTCTGTCATAACCTTTTTGCCGGCATCTGTTGGTCAACAAGAATTACATCAGTTTTTTATTGTTACAAAATATACAAAAAGAACTCGTATATATCGTACACTGTTTTGTGTATCTGTCGTTTGTATAGTTGTATGTAGATAATTGTTGAAATGTTTAATAAATTATTAAGGGTATTGTTTTATGTAACAGACAGCAGAAAGAAAAACATTTAAAGTTGAATTTCTTCAAAAAATTGAAGAAGACATTCAAAGAAAATGGGAAGCCGCAAAAGTGTACGAGGTGGACGCTCCTTCGGGAGATGGTGAATTACCCGAAAAGTATTTTTCAACTTTTCCTTATCCGTATATGAATGGACGCCTTCATCTAGGTCATACATTTTCACTATCTAAGTGTGAGGTACATCTTGATAATTTTATATTTATGCATATTTTTGTTTTAGCATGTTTAATATGTAAATAAACTAATGACTATATATTTGTATTAGTTCATTACTCGATATCATCGTTTGTTGGGAAAGAAAGTACTCTTTCCCTTTGGTTTTCATTGCACTGGCATGCCTATTAAGGCGTGTGCTGATAAACTAAAAAGAGAAATAGAAGAATATGGTTACCCTCCAGACTTTTCTAAAAGTGAAGATAACAAAATGACAAAAAAAGAAAGAAATGATGATATTATTGCGTTAGAGAATAAGAGTAAAGGGAAGAAGGTAAAACCAAATATATATTTTAATGCACTTTTATTAAAAAATAGATATTCCTAAGAATGCTAATTGATTGCTGTTGATATTAGAGCAAAGCTGTTGCCAAAGCAGGCGCAGCAAAATATCAATGGCAGATTATGCAATCTCTTGGCTTGAAAGATGAAGAAATTAAAAATTTTACTGATGCTGCGTACTGGTTGGATTTCTTTCCAAAATTTGCTGTGACGGATTTAAAATCTATTGGTCTCCATGTAAGATTTGAAAACTCGTTTATATTTACGTGCTCTTTTTTTCCGTGAATTATTTATTTGAATTTTGAACACTCTTTTAGGTGGACTGGAGAAGAACGTTTATTACAACGGATGCAAATCCGTTTTATGACTCTTTTGTACGCTGGCAGTTTCTACATTTGAAAGATAGAAAAAAAATAATGTACGGAAAGAGATATAGCATTTATTCACCAAGAGATGGCCAACCGTGTATGGATCATGACAGATCTTCAGGAGAAGGCGTTTTGCCACAAGAATATACATTGATTAAACTAAAAGTGAAATATCCCATGAAACTCGAGTAATAATTTTTTACATTATCTCAAATCATTCCACAACTCACTTTTTAATAAGACTTGTAAAATTATATCAAATTTTGTTTTAGCAATGGCTTCAAAGGAAAGTCAGTTTACCTTGTGGCCGCAACTATGAGACCAGAAACGATGTACGGTCAAACGAACTGTTGGGTGCATCCGGAAATAAAATATGTAGCATATAATTTATTAGACGGAGATATATTTATTTCGACAGAACGTGCAGCAAGGAATATGTCTTATCAAGGTTTTTTTCAAACAGAAGGAAAAATCGATATTGTTCGGGAATTCCTGGGCAAGGTATCTAATCTAGTCTCATATGTATAAGAAAGATTAATTGTTCTAGTTTCTAAATAATACAAAATTTATAGGAATTGTCAGGATTGGAACTAGAAGCTTCTCTCACAGTTTATAAATCAATATATGTACTGCCTCAGTTTTTTGTAAAAGCAGATGTGGGTACTGGCATTGTAACTTCTGTTCCTAGTGATTCTCCTGATGATTACATAAACTTAATAGAACTGCGTGATCAACCAAAGCTTAAAGAAAAGTTTGGAATCACTGACGAAATGATCCTTGAGCCAGTAAGAATAATGCAAATTGATTTAAACAAAAACAACAAAGAATCTAGAAGTACTTTTTATATATTTTTGTCTGTGATCTTAGGTTCCAGTTCTTGAAATTCCAGATTATGGCAATTTAACAGCACCAACATTATGTAAGGAGTTAAACATTAAAAGTTCAAACGATAAAGAACTGCTTAAAGAAGCGAAGACGCAAGCGTATTTGAAAGGATATTACACGGGTGTGATGCGAGTAGGAGGCCCTAAATATGAAGGTAAAATGGTACAAGATGTCAAGAAACTTGTTCAGAAAGAACTGGTCGACAATCGCCAAGCCGCGATCTATTACGAACCGGAGAAACCTGTTATTTCGAGATCAAATGACGAATGTGTAGTCGCCTTGTGCAATCAATGGTATTTGGATTACGGCGATAAAGAATGGAAGAAAACCGTACGTGACGCATTGGAACGTCTCAATACTTTCCACGAAGAAGTTTTTAACAATTTCAACATGTGTTTGGATTGGCTACACGAATACGCATGTTCCAGAACATATGGACTTGGTAAATAATGTTTTGTTAAATTTCGCATTAGTAAAATCACATTTCGAACTCCCAGATCATTCCCATCTTTCAACTTTAGGCACCAAACTACCGTGGGATGAGAGCTGGTTGATAGAATCTCTGTCGGACTCCACTATATACATGGCTTATTACACAATAGCGCATTTCCTGCAAGGAGGAACCTTTAAAGGAGAAAAACCCAATGAATACAACATAAAGTAAGAATTAACATTAAAACGTTACATATTCAATATGTGATTCGATAACATATGCCTTTATTCTTATTAGAGCCAGTGATATGACTCCGGAAGTATGGGATTATATCTTTTTCCGAGACGCTAAACTACCCACAAACACTTCAATAAAAAAAGAAATTCTAGATCGTATGAGAAACGAATTTAGATACTGGTATCCGGTAGATTTGAGAGTGTCAGGGAAAGATCTGATACAGAATCATCTTACGTTTTATCTTTACAATCACACAGCGATATGGCCGAAGGAACCTGAAATGTGGCCGCAAGCAATAAGAGCAAATGGTCATCTGCTATTAAATTCGGCGAAGGTACCGATATATAATTAGTATCTAAAGATATTTTTCTCTCTTATACAAAAAAAATCTTTTATACAAAAGTTCCATTATATCAATACACACACAGATGTCAAAGTCAGAGGGCAACTTTCTAACGCTTGAGGAAGCTGTAAGAAAGTTTTCAGCCGATGGAATGCGTCTCTGTTTGGCCGACTCTGGTGATTCTATACAGGATGCTAATTTCGATGAAAATACAGCCGACGCGGGAATTCTTCGACTGTACAATTTGATACAATGGGTCAAAGAAGTATTGTCTACGAAAGATTCCTTCAGACACGATGAACTTCATACGTTTAATGACGAAGTATTCGAAAGGTATCTTATTTTTTTTTTCTATAAATTTTCTCTATCACTGTTATGTACAGAACTTAACTGGTATTTATCTGATGTAGTGAAATCAATCTGAAAATAAAAGAAACTGGGAAGCATTATTCGAACATACTTTTCAAAGAAGTATTGAAAACGGGATTCTTCGAGTTTCAAGCAGTCAGAGACAAATATTTGCAATTGAGCATACTGGATGGTTACAGTTGGAAACTTATTATGAAATACATAGAAATTCAGGTCATTCTTCTATCTCCTATTTGCCCTCACGTTTGTGAACACATATGGGAACTTATTGGAAAAGTAAGTTTCACATGCTGAAATTTTTATCGATTGATTAATTGATTGATTAAATATGAATGTGTGATCAACAAATGTGATTTATCAGGACGGCAGCATATTAGACGCGAGATGGCCCGTCGCGGGAGAAATAAACGAAATTTTAATAAAATCATCTCAATATTTAGAAGAAGCCGCTCACACATTTAGAGTTCTTTTGAAAAATTATCTAACACCGCCAAAATCTGCAAAAAACGTCAAAATATCAAAACCTGAGCAAGGAATTATTTGGGTGGCCAAGTCTTATCCTTGTTGGCAGAGTATCATTCTCACGACGATGAAGGAAATGTACACTGTAAGTCACAGTAATAACATAACGCGACAATTAGACTATCTTGAATTGATTTCTTTTTATCTTCTATTATATGTGATTAGAAAAATGATGGTAAGTTACCAGAAAATAAAGTACTTGCTGTGGAGTTTGCGAAGAAAAGCGAATTGAAACAGTATCAGAAAAGAGTAATGCCGTTTGTACAATTCATGAAGGAAAAAGTGGCGGATATTGGTGTGAAGGCGTTAAATTTGACGCTTGATTTCGACGAGTTCGATGTACTTGAGAAAAACAAAGAATATCTCAAAAAGACGCTAAATGTAAGCACTTACTATTCTCTTGTTCGTCATTATTAGTGTGTATATGTCAAATATTTTTGTTGTTTGTTGTGTTAGCTCAACGATATTGTCATAAAATACACGGACGATGTAGATGCCCCGGAAAAAACAAGGGAACAATGTTGTCCGGGTACTCCGTACATGAGCTTTCATGAAAACAAAGATGACAATTTACTATCCGTTACGTGCATTAATCCGCAGGTTTTCACTAGCTTATTTAGCTTGTCCATTCAAGTTGCAGAAGGCGATACAGTTGCAACTGTCGTATCTAAAATCGTGAAACAAATTCCGCATATAAAGAGTAAGTAAGATATAAGTGCAATTAGAAAATTTATTGACAATGGCAATTAGTAATCAATGTATTTCTTCTCTAGATCCTGTTTCAATCGTGTTGTATCGATATGACGATCCAGTTTTGGGACCAAGAGTTAAACCGACAATAGACGACATACTGAAAGGAAAAACCGAGATCCCATCTGATTCTGTATTTCACGTAAATATGGAAACGAAACGTCTTGAAGTTAACGTTGCAGGTAGCACATATTTTATAGGAGAATACTTAATTTATATCAGTAAATATCTCTAAAAGTTTTGCTTGAAGTAAACGATTTGATCAGAGTGAAAAAAAAAAAAAAAAAGATTTTAAGTACATAAGCAATTATTTATGAAAACATTATTTTATGATCCTTTATTTGAAAAAATTTGAAAAATGAAGCGCTAAAATTTATTTGAGCAGTATTTCGTAGATCTACAGGTATGTGTATTTATTAGTTAAAAATAATATTTTATTTTGGTGTCAAATTAACTCTTAACTACGCGAGATGTGTCACTAAGTGCGACTATAGTGTATTCTCAAAAGTGTTTGTTTTTTATTTTTCATCAAGATTATTTTATTATTTTTATTCTTTTCTTTCTTTTGTAAAATAAATTTTTTGTTACATACACATGTAATGTATAAAAGTGTTTCAAATATATAAATAAAGAGATGTTTATATATTATATATTATAAAAAAATTAATGAGATACACTTAAAGTAGTTGGGAGTTAAGAACATGACATTTTCTGCAGTATATGACACGTCATGACTCAAGATTAAAACATTTGTGAGAGTTTTGTATAAATGTTTATTAATAAAAAAAAATTTTTTTAAATATAATGCTTACTTGTATTATAATTTAGCACTTTATACAATATATATAATGCTTTATTTGTATTTTGTTATGTTTTGTACAAAAGACAGTAAAATCTTAGTTATGGCACGTGACAGTATCAAAACACGAGCAGTTTGCTCTATAAAATCGTACAATGTTACAAAAAGCGTGCGTATTCCTATTGTCGTGAAAATCACATAGAATTCTTAATAATTGTTAAATTAATTTATTTCTATGTTGTTTTTGCCGTTGATCCACTTTGGAGCGTATCTGTTTGATATCGGTAGCATATGTTCTACAACATCCGCCTATGTAGCGAACGCCAAGATCCAGCCACTCGTCGATAAACTCGCATAAAGGAGGAGTCTCTCCCTCTTTCATCCATCCCTCGGATATTATATACTTTTCTCCGCTGTTCGGGTAAACCACCAACGGTATAAAATCGTCCGTATTGTCTTTATTGATATCTTTCAGCAGAGTAGTGACGCGCTGCGGAGCGATGCAATTAACACCGATCGCTAATATTTGTCCAGGTAGCGCGTTTTTGTAACACCTCATTGCGGTCTCTTGAAAGTTGCTGCCATCCGCTAAGCTCTTACCGTCGTCTCTACACGAGAAGGACAACCACGCCCGTGCATCCGGAAATTCTCTCAGAAGATCGATCACAGCTTCCGCTTCGCGCACGCAAGGTATTGTTTCTAACGCCAGAAGATCAACGCCTTCTTCCAGTAATACGCGCACACGAGGTCTGTGCCAGTCGACCAAAAATTCTCGGGACACTCGTGTGCCGTACGAGCCCGTGTACTCCGAACCGTCGTGCAGACAAGCCCCGTAAGGTCCGCAAGATCCAACAATCAACGGTTTCCGGTTCGTCACACTTGCATCATCTTTTATTTCACGTCTGTACACGTTCACTGCATCTTTAGCGTAACTGACGGCGTTGCGAATTATCTCGAGACTCTCGTTCTCGCTGGCGCCTAGATATTTTACGAAACCGTCGATTGTCGCTTGATACGTGTTTGTCTGTATGATGTCGGCGCCGGCTCGTAAGAAGTCCAGGTGAGTAGCGGAGACGGCGCCCGAGTTCGTGACAAGAAAACGCGCCGTCCACAGAGGATCCCCATCGATCTTTTCGCCTACGTGAGTGGCCAGTTGAGTGGCAAATCCTCCGTCCAGCACTTGTATTTCTGACATTATACTTTTTTACAGGAATATGATTATGTAAATTTGATTTCTTTCAAGTTTACCAGTTACCAGTCAACGAATATAAAAAGATCGCACGGCGAGACGTCTCGATCGCTACGATTTCTCCGCGACAGTACAAAACCTGATTAAACGCGTGGACTTTATACGAACAGCGGAGACAACTGTCGGAGAAGATTTCTTATCATTATCTACGAGGATACATTTTGATAATTTAATCATCTGTAAAATGCGTGTCGCCGCATGGACGGCGAGGAGATATTGCAAAGTCGCATCTTCCGCATTGCGCACTGCGCATGTGTTCTGGATCGTTGCGTTATTTACACATATGCAGCTGATGCAACATAGCTGTTTTATTGGCAAGTATTTGGAAGATGAAACAAGAAAACACAATCGAGTAAACATTTTTAGCTTCTCTCTCTCTCTCTCTCTCTTTCATTTTTTTTCTTTGAAATTAGAAATGCAATGCAACGGAACTTTTTGACGGTTATTTATGTTCATGATGAGCACTGAAGTGCTCTATCGGTTCTTTTATTTATATAATACATAAAATTATCATTTGTATTTACAGATTGACAGGGTTCGGAAACGCACAAACTCATGTGCGCACGTATTCAACTCATGAATAATAATACATCTCATGGCTCATGAGTCATTTGGTAAAATTCATGTGCGCGTACGTTCAGATAAGTTGCTATGGCACATAAATAACAAGCGTTTGTAATGCACACTTTCGGCCGCGTGCGCCTTTGAGTGCTTAAAGAATCTCATGAGAGATATAAGCATTCTTATATCTCTCATAAGATTCTTTGTATCTATTTCTTGCTGATTATCTCTTCTGTGTGGGTGTGTGTGAGAGAGATTGCTTATCTTTAATCACGACAGCTAATAATGTAGCTCGCGAGGCTTACATTGATATCCGTGTAAAAATACGTGTGTATAAAAATATACAAGTTTCGCTGCATCATTTCATCTCATGATTTCCGAATGGAATTGCATCAGTTTAATCGTGAAGGGAGAGAGTGTTACATTGCTTTCGCGCGACACCGTTCGACTTCCGAGCGAATCGCTGCTATGTCCTCCGCGAAGATCTTGCAGCAACCACCGATGTAACGGACTCCCATGTCCAGCCACTGCGATATGGGCAGACTTAAAGGATGATCGTCCGGTACGTCGATCCACTCGCCGGTCGCGGAGTAGCTGCCGCCTCTGTTCGGGTAAACCACCAGAGGAATGAAATCCGCCGAAGCGTTCTCGTTGATGCCCTTCAGCAAGGGCGTCACGTACTTCGGATCGACGCAATTCATCCCGATCGCGACGATCTGCGACGGTAGAGCCCGGTAACAGCGAGTGACCACTTCTTGAAACTTACTGCCGTCAGCCATGAGTTCGCCGTCTCGGCAGGAAAACGAGAGCCAGGCGTGTGTGCTCGGAAACTCTCGCAGCAGCTCCAGCAGAGCTTCCGCTTCCTCGACGCAGGGTATAGTTTCCAGAGCCAGCAGATCGACGCCGGCATTCACTAGTGCCTGAACACGCGGTCTGTGCCAGTCGGCGAGCTCCTGCCGAGACACGGTCTTCCCGTAGAACCCGGAGTACTCCGACTTGTCGTGCAAGTAGGCGCCGTAGGGTCCGCAGGAACCCGCCACCATGGGTCTTTCTTTTTCAGCACGCTGTTCGGAACCTGTTTCCTGAATGTAAACGTCCACCGCCTTCCTGGCCAGTGACACTGCCTTTGCGAGCAAGTCCAGGCTCTCGCGTTCGCTTATGTTCAAATGCTTCGTCAGTCCGGGCACAGACGCCTGATAAGTGGCGGTCTCGATGACGTCGGCGCCGGCACGCAGAAAATCCAAGTGCGTAGCATACACGGCTTCGGGGTTAGTCGCGAGGAACCGTGCGGTCCACAACGGATGATCCTTGCCGGCAATTTTCGCGCCCACGTGGCGCGACAACTGTCCGGAGAAGCCGCCATCTAGGAGTTTCACGGTCGCGGTCATTTTTCTTTTGCGACACCCACGTGATCGTTGCGAATTCGCACGACTCTCTGAAGAAATGAGAGCGACTAGATGTTAAATTTCTTCGATCAACTTGGTAGAAAAATTGAAAACGGATATCTCACGTACGAATTTTGAGATAACTCAAAGCCACCGGACTGGTTCGATCAGAGCGAGTATTCTTTTTCGTACGAGACCTTGAAAAGAATGAATAACTGTATATACAAAAGGTTGTCCACTATCGTAACGTTTAACACACTGACATTTCCCCCACTTTAGAGCAATTGCGACTGTTTTGCAGTGTCTTCTGCGGTGACACGACAAAATCTGTTTAAGCTTTCTCTCTCTCTTTCTCTCTCCAAACAACACATTTCTTATCATTGTCATTTTAAATGATGTGCGGATTTGAAACTATTATCACAGTGATATTGCAACTATACGGCGCGAAATCGATGTTTATATGCAATATCACTTTTTTTTGTTTAGAAACGTAAACTAATTATTTAACAAACTAAATCACAAGATCAATGAATCTGAACGACTTTGTCTTCAAACTTAAATTTAATTATAATTTATAAATTGTTAAAAAGAGACGAGTAAATGACACACGTGTCGGTGAATGTGAATAAATTTTTTATTCGCTAATCACATGGGCAAAATAACAAATATCTGGGCTTTATTCTGACATTTATTTTGTATTTTATTTTTGACAAAAACTTGCAGTTTTATGATAAATATTTGATACATAATATAAATTAATGTAACTTTGTTTTTAAAAACACTAAATTTCATGAACTTCTGAATATTTAAATTATCTTTATTGAAACGTCTAAAAAACACACATTTAACTCATAATAATTATATATTGTGTATATCAACAAATCGTTATTAGTGATTTTATATTGAATAATATACAAGATATATTGTTCATAATATTCCAAGATTTTTTTCCACAACGGCATGTGGCTGTCCCATTTGTTCCCTAAATTCTGGAGTGTTAAATATATCTTCGAATCTAAAAACAAAATCAATATAAGCGAATTAGTTGTTTTAATAGAAATGTAATAATGTAACGTTTGTATGTAAATATGAAAATTTTATAGAATATAGACATCCTACCCTATGTCTTGATCACGTCCAAGCAAAACATTTCGCATAAGATTAGACGATTGTAAGAATGGAAGTCTGCCAATCTTTTCAGTGGCTTTCAATTCCATTGCCAAACGCAAAGGTGCATGTAATCCTTGTGTATTTCTAAGCAATATCATGTTCATGCGATCTTGATTTTTTTGATACTGAAATATGAATTTATTTATAATATGCCGTATATAAGTTGCAAAGTTGTTTTTATTTATAAAATATAAGAAATCTTACACTTCTTTCCGAAGCTTCCAAAGGATGTGCATAACCAACACTCTGTCTAGTTGCTGATAAGCTAAACAAATATAATATTGATATAAAAATCAGATTATAACAGGAAAGAAAATATTTTACTTTCTAAGTATCTGTTGTTGTAAAACAGAACTCGATTAAATGATAAATATATATTTTCATACCCCGATATCATAGGATTGGCTACACCATAACTACTTTCTCCTTTAATTTCAAATTGATCAGGCAGAGTAGCCTGAGGGACAATTGATGGCAAACCGAAACTCTAAAATTATAAATAAATTTCAAGAAATTATACATTTTCCATGAAAATATTTTGATATATACACAATTGATTTAGAATTTTTGAATTTTTCATTGAGACACTATCAAAACTGACTGTCATCATTACCATAACCTGTCATGTAATTCATGTGTACACAAATCGTACCATATATGAGAATTATATATAATCATATATGTATAAGTATTTTGTGTATCGAGAATATTTATTACCATTTTGTTTTTCAAATCAGGAGTACTACACACTTTACAATCAAAGTATAGTCTTCTCTCTGTCCCTATACAAACGAGAATGAATAAAAAAACAACACACTTCAACAATAATTACTTGCCACACACTGCACAACTGACATGTAAAAACAGAGAGAAGACTGAAAGGCGGCCAAACCTATGAGAGAATGTGTAATCGCTTTTCCGCCCTGTAAGCCAGCGCAATGTTCATGGGTGGTGCACATTGGCAACTACGTAGTGGCCATGTCCACGAACGACTTGTCGATACGTACGTTATGTTCAAACGTGGACATGGTTTTATTCCGTGCTATGTCCACAACCGTGCGGTTTTTAAATTGTGTCACACATTTTTAACTCATATTAATAAGTAATAAAAATATGTAATGCACATCTTGATTAATTCTCTCAATCTCTCGAAATATCGAACCAGCGGTACAGACAAGAAATCTATTTTATCAAATATTGGCATAGTTCCTTTCATACTTACTGACATATAACGTAAATAGACCACAGAATATTTGTCTCTGTAAAATTTTTGTCAAGAATGATGTCACTGCATATTACTCAGTGCAAGTAAGTGCGAGTTTATAGACAAACAGTGATATTTTCACTGATTATTTGCCGAATCAGTCTCGTTGTGTGTCATGCATTGAAAGAAGTAAAAAGTGATTTGGATTATATTTATTCCATTTATAAGGAGCAGAAAACTTTGTTATTGGGTAGGTAACTTTTTTTTGGTTCTTCCTAATATATATTCTGCTAATATTATTTTATCACGTTTATAATATGTGTTCGCACATTAGATCTTAAGTATCACGTTTAATATCATCGCGTACATACGTACACGCGTATATATAGAAATTAAGAATTGATGACGTTATTAATCAGGATTTAGATGCAATTATTTCAGATAATTTGGGGAATGTGAATCATGCTGCTGCTTCAAATAATTACTTTGTTTGTTGCGCTTATCTCTGCTGTGAGATCCAGCGACATAACGCCTGCTGTATTTGGCAATGTATTGGACGGCATGCCTGCAGCTTTTGGCGATTTTAATTCTGATGAATTAACAGATGTATTCATGTTGCGCAAGGATGGCCGAACAGTGGAAATATTTCTGGCAAACGAACAAGAACCTTTGTTACGACCAGCACCTGATTTGAATTGTTCATTCAAAGATCATATAACCAGCATAGTACCAGGTGATTTTGATGGTGACGTCTTTATGGATATTTTGGTGACAACCTTCAATAAATCCCACGTACGTGAACTCACTTATGCGTATATACTGTGGGGCGGAAATGGCCACCTTAATTGTAGCGATGAGTTGAAACCATTGATAAAAATGCGCGATCAGCCTTTGGCATTGGATTACAATCAAGACATGATAATTGATCTCTTCGGTGTGGACGAGCATGGTAGAAGAGTGTTCTGGGTATTTAATGAGAACAGAACCACTCCACGTGTCATTGAGATGGAAGATGAATCAAACTCATTAGAGCGCGTGAGACAACCGCACTCGAACGCTTTTCTAGATCTAAATAGTGATTTCCTGTCAGATCTCGTGGTGACCACAAACACATATTTTGAGATATGGCTAGGTAGAGAAACAGGATTTGAATTTTCCCATAAAATCGAGCTACCATACAATATCTCAGTTGATAAAAACTTCAAGGGAGAATTCGGACAGACTTTGTACTTGGATGTCGACCTGACCGGCAAGATGGCTCTTCTCTTGCCATTGTGCTTTGATGAGGACTGTACCAGTTGCACTATAATGATGTACTTAAATGGCTGGCATAACTTGCAAGTGAACTTCCGGGATCCTAACAACGTACTTTGGGGTTTTGTGAAGCCGAATGGTCAGCGTTACACGGAGACTATTACTCTACGCGGTGGTGACTTCAATATGGATGGCTATCCGGATCTCTTGGCGACCTTGCAATCTTCCGCAAAACAGCCGCAAGCGTTTCTGTTGCAAAATGTCGTATGCAAGAACTGCGTCGGTTACAATCGTACCTTCGATATCAAGTGGCAGGCGTTAAATCCATTTTACAACAAGACATCAATGGCAGTGTTCTATGATTTCTACCAAGACGGCATCTTGGATGTAATCCTGGTAGAGAAGACGAGCAATGTCTATCACACCGCAGCGTTCAAGAACAGTTTGGATTACGACGCCAATTTCGTCAAGGTGATGGTGCTCACTGGACGTACCAACAGCATGTATCCCATCTCGCCAGGCTCACTCGGCAAGAAAAAGAGAACTTACGGCACCAATCTACCTGGACCGTCGATTGCGTATAAAACCACCACACAGGACGGTAGCCCTCGCAATGCAATTGCCGCACAGCTGCCACAGAGTGCGCATTTCTCGCTTAATTTGCCGTACACCACCTTCGGTTTAGGAAGAACACCTAACTTCGTAGACACTCTTACGATAGGGGTATGAAAAAACATTGAATGCTCGTTTCTTTCTCATAAATTTAGTCATACTGGTGTGGTAAATTAAAATTAATACTAAACAAAATTTATACTAAGATTCGATCCTTCTTATAAATACATCTAGAATAAAAAACGTAGTGTATTAAATATTGGATAATTCTCTGACACTAGCAACAAGTACAATTCTTAGCAGTTCGAATACTATCTTGATTCTTTTCTAAAAAATTTTATTTCCTCTCGACACAGGTTGGCGGTAAGTCACGCGAATGGCCACAGATCATTCCGAACTCTCAAATGGTCGTGATACCAAATCCGATTGCCGAGCCGTCGAGATGGAAGGCTCAGCTCTTCGTTACACCCAGCAAGTTGATTTTATTAAGCGCGGCTGCCTTAACAGGCACCTGCTGCTTGATCACAACCATCATTCTCGCGTTATATTGGAAGGAGAGGAGAGAAGATAAGATTGAGAAGCTGCAGGAAGCGCATAGGTTCCATTTCGATGCTATGTAAAGATGGAAGGGAGACGGAAAGGAAATATTACGTAATTAATTTTTAATTAAGATATCCGTTTTCATTGATATATAATTATTTAATAAATAAATCGCGTTTATACACTATCCTACTCAATCTCGAATAAATTCTCATGGTCGCTATTTCGCGACTCTGACAGCGGACGATACACGCGTCTTTCCACCAATTGCAGAATTTTCACTTTCGAAGAACTTGTGCTGTCAGAGAGAGTAAAATTAACAATTTATTAATTCTTCCTTGTCACTTTTATTTTTTATATAAAACAACGAGACTCATCAGTGTCTTGTTTCACCTCTCGCGGACCGATGTCGTGTTGAGAGTGTGATATACACAATAACAAACGACCTTTGCCAAAGGGTTCTGTTTTTTTTTTTTNTTTTTTTNTTTTTTTTTTTTTTTTNTTTTTTTGTTTCCTTCTCTTTGGTCACTGCGCGTCAGTACCCGTTATAATACATTTTCGCGGTCGATCTACGCTAAAAGGAATGATTCGCTATTGACATCGATCGTTTTTTATGGCAGGGTTCAAGTCGTTGAAGTATGAATGCGCCATCGCGTCCTCAGCTGATATTCGTTGAGCCGGGTTACACACTAACAATTTCTGCACAGAAAGATATAAAAAAACATAATAAAATTAACAAAGCTTGATATGACAAAAAAACCGAAACTTGCAAATGTCATATTTTTGGAATATTAAAATCTTGTAATTTTTCGGTACTTTGATATTTTCATTTATACACATGGCATTTTCAAGTTTACACAATCAAGATTTGACAGTAAAACTTTATCGTATTTATATTGTATGTATATACATATTATAAGAAAAATATTTGTTAGAAACTAAAAATTTCTTTGTTTCAATTATTTATATAGTATATAAGTATTTATACTTTATATGTACATGTATATCTTGTATATGCAATGTTGATTTACTTGCATAATCTAGTCTAATTAGAACTTTTCGTTTAAGGTTATTTTTGCTATTGGTATAGACAAATATAGTAATCTTAAACATCTTACCTGGAGTAAGTCTTTTCCCTTTGCATTAAGTTTGGGTGTGACTTGTGCTAATCCTTGCGTGGGATGATACTGTGGGAAGTGTTTGTAATCGGGAAGTGTTGTCAAGTCTGGCCAAGTCTCCTCAGTCGGTGTGCCCAACATTTTGAATATTCTTTTCAATTGATCGTCTACATCCGATCCGGGAAACAGCGGTCTGCCAGCATTTGCCAATTCTGTGACATTCAGGCAAAAATATCATTATGTACATTTTGTTACCTTGCGATGCAACATTATATTACTTCTTGTTCGTTCTTTTTCAGTATATAGACTGATAAATTTTGTCAGAAAGATTGAGTTTTTCAAACCATTTATACACAAAGAAATAATATACCTGCAAATATGCATCCGGCGCTCCACATGTCAATGGACGTTGTGTATAATTTTGCTCCGAAAAGAACATCCGGGGGACGGTACCACAGTGTGACAACTTCCGCGGAATAACATTTTACAGGGATACCAAATGCTCTTGCTAATCCGAAATCGGCGAGTTTCAGCTCCCCGTTCTATGAACAATTCTCAACTTGATTCGTAACAATATACAAAGAAGATAAATGTAGGTGAAAAGTGACAAAAACTGTTTTTTTTACAGAATACAGCAATAAAAAGAGAAACATAGATATGTAAACATGCTTGTAATTGCGCATCTTTTTACCTTGTTGATGAGTAAGTTCTGTGGTTTGAGGTCTCTGTGTAAAACATTTCGGCTATGGCAGAATGCTAGTCCTCTTAATAACTGGTATCTGAATTGATGTAAAATATGATAGAATTAATAAATTGTGCGAGAAAAGGGCAGGAGAAGAAAAAGCAGAATCGTCTTACAGAAATGACTTAACAACGTCCAAGTCAATCTCTCCATTTAGACTGTCGAAGTACTTCTTGAGATCTTGATCACAGTGCTCGAATACCAAAGTGAGCTTTTTGTCGCTGTGCAGCACGTCGTAAAGACGAACAATATTCTTATGCTTGAGCTCCTTCAGAAGACAGATCTCCCGCAGAGCTGACGACGGTACACCCTTGGCAACGTAAAGAGCACACGAGCGATAAGACGTTAGATATCAAGGCATCGGCCTTCGTCGAAGGGATTATTTTTGACACGACACGAGGAGAGCGTTTAAACGTTTATAAATAAAACACGAGCGATCGATTAGTTAAATTAATCGGAACGCCGGTGTCGTCGCAAACACACGCGCAGCAGGTGGGGGATTGCGACGAAGGAGATTGCTACGTGAAAGAAAGAAAGAAAGGCAAAACAAGAACCCCTCCCTCCCGGGAAAAGGGAAGAAGTTGATCAAATCACTCAGGCACTACCTACTTCATCATCATCGTCCAGTCGCACCCGCTTCAAGGCAACGATTTCATGTGTCTCGCGATTCTTGGCTTTGAACACGGTGCCATAAGTGCCTGGAAAGAAAAGAAACGCCACTTGCAGTGAGATGATAATGCGAGTGTTTAGATGTACATATTGTGTTGACAACAGGAAGAGATGTGGACCACCACCGGGTTGGCCGCGGGCAACGAGAACGTAGCGCGTCGCCGATTGACGTCAGCTCGTCCCTTTACGAAAACAACACGTTTTCACACCTCACCTTCTCCTATTTTCTCGAGCTTCTCATATTTTTGCATATTTTTGCTGATATCACGGGCGGAACGCGCACGCACGCACGCACTGTCGCGCACAGTGTTTCACCACTGTGCGCTCGCGCTCTTGGTGTTGTTGGACGTGGTCGGACGAGCCGCGTCTATCTCGCATGCGCAATTATAACAGCATCTACTAAATACTAATAACCGTATCGTTGTGTATGTAGGTATAGTATACGAGTAAAAGATACGTCACTATAATGTTACCAACAACTGATACGCATGACGACAGTTTTCTTCGATTTTTTCTACTTTTTCAAATTTCTTTATTTTATAACGCATGAAAATCAAACTCAAAAAATAGTGAGAAAGAGAAGTGGAAAAACAACACGTGACAAGGAAAAGGGTAAAAAAAAGAATATTATATATATTATATGTAATATTCTATATTTATATATAATACACATACATACGCATATATGTATATATATATATATATACCGTAATCACGTGACCGAAGTCAGTAACACCGCCGCGGTCGCGCGCCCGAGGTCAGTGATTCCACCGCAGTCACGTGACTGAGGTCAGTGACCCTCCCCACCAAGGCCGCGCGCCCGCGGTCAGTGACCCCCCCCACAAGGCCGCGCGGCCGAGGTCAATGCCCCGTCAAGGCCGCGCGGCCGAGGTCAATGACCCCGCCAAGGCCGCGCGGCCGAGGTCAGTGACCCCCCCCCCCACAAGGCCGCGCGGCCGAGGTCAATGACATTACTGTAGTATGTATATAATACATACAAATAAGAGTCATCCCAGTATATTATTTTAACGTGCGGTAACATATGCAATGCAATTAGTTTTTCGATTGTTATCGTTCAACTTCAATTGAACTTGACATTTTTGACAGATATATTTTACTTACGGGAAAAAGAAAATTTTTAATTCATTGTTTTTCAAGTCACATCATTGTCAAATAGGATTTTAATATTCAAGTTCAATTTTTGTTCAAACACTCGGGTTTAATGTTTGTTTACAATACTTCGGTATCATTTTTGTAAAGAGATAATTATGTATTTAATTTATCGCTGTTTAACCAGCGTGATTTTTGCAATGATAAACGCAAGTATTGCGTTGTATATGTGCCAACGCGTAAGTTTTACACTGTTACATTTTCTATTTTTAATAAAACGTAACATTGATGTGACGTAATATTTTTTAGTTTCTTCGAGTAATGAGAGCGCATTATCAAATTATGACTGAAGCTAAGAGATTTAATTCGATCGTAATGTATATTATACCTCATACATCACAAATTGTCTTTAGATTACATAATGTATGTGTAAAAAGTATACAAATAATCATTAGGTCTCTGAATCGCGTGCGAGTCTTGATTACATCAGTTCAAAAATATCCGAGGGGATGGATCAGGTACTTAAATTAATTAACAAACGTAATAAAATAAATACAAATAACTTAAGTTATTTCTGAACTCAAAGAACAGTTTAATATAAAAAAAAGTAGTTAAACATTATTGTAATAAATACAAATTTTGTAACCGTATAGATGAAAGAAGACATTGCTAAAGAACTGTCCATCACTGACCATTTAACAAAACTCGGTTCGAAAGTGAGTCTGTTGCTGCAGCGTTATTCTGAATTAGAGGAAGAATTAATTGAGGTAAAATTTTAATTAAATATTGTATAAGCAAAATATAAAAAATTTGTTTTCTTAATAGTTGATGCGAATGCATCACAACACGAAAAACGTGCGAATCGAGACACCGGCCGATATCAACGAAGAGGTTAAAACTGTTCTCACAACGATAAGGAAGAAACAACCTCCTCAGCAGCAGCAATTGGATCGTCTGCGAACGCCGAGGAAACTGCGAATATCGACTGTCGCTTCCGCGGGAGGTAAGAACTTTCAAGCGCAGAACGCGAATTCCAAGCATCTCACATCGCGGTCACATGATACCGCTAATCTTTCGAACGTGACGATGTCCGAAAGACCACGCACGCCTATTTATCCGGAAGTGCAATTGCTGGACGACCAGAGATTCGCGAATGACGCAAAACCCATTGGTTTTCGACCGTCTTGGCAATGCGAGGCTTGAAATAATCACCGTCCAAAATTTCTTGATTTGACAATTGTTTTCTTTTACAAAAAAATGCAGATTGTAATTGCAAAACGTCATAAATAAATGAACAATATTTTCTGTGTTTGAGAACAGATGTTTTTAGATATAAGAACTTATATATATATTTAGGTATGCGCATACAATCTATAACTAAAAGATATAACAATCTTATTAAAATATTAAAACTTTTATAATTTATACAATTCGAAAATTTACATACACGAGTATATAGCAGAAAGAATATACATAAAATGACATAAATAGAAATAATGACACTTGAAGATGACACATAAAAAGGCCGCATAAACATATTATATTTTTAGAAAATTATTTTTCAGCAATAACGGTTTATGTAATATTTAAAGACAGCTCTCAGACATAATTTTCACGATAGTGAAATATCTACAAGATAAGAAGTTGTTTACACAAAACATTCTTCTAATAATAAACACATAACTGGTCACAGATATAATAAATATATATTTCAATTTTTACACAATCTTTTTATGTTACATCTTCAGTAATTTGTTCTTTTGATTTAATCAATATATATTTTTGCAGAACGACAGAGTAGAGGGGATACGATACACGTAATATTATATTTTTTTATTTAATTGGCCATTTCATTAAAATGATGAGAACATCACTCGTAATACTAGGGATTAATTATGAAGAAATATCTTTGTGTTATCTCACGTTTCGTAGACACGTGAGAGATCTTTGAGTATTTTTACACAGAGAAAAAGAGAAAAACTTTTTTCATAAACGAGTTTTTCCCTCAAAAAGACATATATTTGTTGTTTTTTTTTTTTTTTGCTCCTAAGATTTGGTCAAAGTTAAATTACATATATATATAATTTTGCACAATATAATTTCACGATTTACACATCGAGTAGAGAGTTGAAATGTATATACAATTAATTACACACATTAACACACGCTGTCCATATTAAGCTAATAGATTAATTATTTAGTTTTTTACAACGGAGTGTGTTTAAAAAATAATCGGCGACAACATCGAGAATATGTTGCATATTAGTGCTCTTTTGAAATATAAACAAATTAATACAATTGTTTCGTTGAACAATTTCTCGAAATAAACAGCGACACATCTCCGCGTTCTAATGCGTTCTAAAAATCTTGCTCTACTTAGTGTTCAAGTTTCAATCAGATAAAATAGTTTCTACTTTTCAGTAGATGTTCAATTTGTTTGATATATTTTATAGTTTGAAATATATAATTTTTATATTTCCACATTAAAAACTTTTCATGTTTTACACTTTACACATATAGAGATTTAAAGCTTTTAAACGTGCACGTGATCATTAAAGGACAGCAATATCATGCAAATTTGTGTTTCGATTTGCGTCGAAAGAACGTTTTGAAATTTTCGAAACGGAGCGATCGCGTTCAATTGGCGTTTTACAATAATTTTTATTCGGCGTTTCCGTTAACTTCTCGTTTCCCTCGTTCTCTTCCCCTCGCCTCTCGGCATTCCGCATCAATTAACGTTGTTGCTCATCCGCTAGATAATTATCGAGCCTCTTGACGAATCCGTTCCAGTTGCCCCGATCGATCTCATCGAAGTTCCGTTTGAAGAAGCTATCGAACGCGTTGTCGATCTCGTCGATGTTTTTCTTTGAGAAACGGTCGAACACCGATCGATCGATCTCATCGAAGTTCCTCTTCGAGAGACGATCGAACACCGATCGATCGATCTCGTCGAAGTTGCCCGGTCGTAGATTTATTGTACCTGGTCGTCTGCAACAATTGACGAATTAGTGGGAAAATGATTCGCAATGTCTTATGTAAATTGAATAAAGTGAAATGTAATGAAACAGCAAATGACATAATTTAGTTGAACTTTCGCACTTTTCCAAGAAAAAATTACCGAGATAATCGAAAATAATCGAATAACTCGCTCCGTGTAAGTTTTAAATTGTTTTTAAAGCAATTTCTTCTTTCTGAAGCATAAAATCTTTTTTATTTTTTTTACGACCACTTGCAAGTAATTTGTAACGGATACGATAAGTAGTTATGATTGAAAATAATCGGGTAAGAAAATATTGTTGAAACTAGTCAGACACGCGCGAAATATCGATCTTTGTGTTTAGACGAGAAAGCGAAGATAGAGAGAGAGAGAGAGAGAGACAGAGAGAGAGAGGTATATGATTGCAACCGACACGCATTACTTTTTGATTTTATTTTTTCCTTCTTTCGACGAGGTCGAGCGAAAAATGCAATTGAATACTGCTGCAATATCAACCCTCCGACATTTGTGAGAGCAACGGCGTTAAACGGAAAAAGCGATTCGCGTACAGAAAACGCGTTTTATCGGAATAGTGTTTGGATCATTTGAAATGTTTCATTTTTGTTCATTTTTTCTCGTTTTTCTTTTATATAATATTTTTGCACAATCTCCATTTTGCTAAAATAATATTAAAACCGGTCAAATGGAAATATGGAAGAATAAGATGTGAATATTTAAAAAAAAAAAAAGAACAAAACAGATCTGTAGATAAGAATCACAATCACAATATATTTGTTTTTACATCCACCAATCCAATGAGGAGTTGAAAGTTTCTTATCTCGAATTTATTTATATTCTGATTTTTTCATCGACGCTAGTAGTATGTAATTGAATATCTCTGACATTCGACAAGTGGAAACGCGATAAACGAAGTATTTTATTAAACTTCCGGCGGAAATACGATCGAAAGAGAGAATATATCTTGAATGTGGAAAAGAAATCAGTTCCTTTGTGCGCGATTGTTCGCGATTGTTGAATGCATAACGGCATAACGCTTTTATTTTTATTGTCAAATATAGAAACAAATAGTGTAAAGAGAGAGAGAGAGAGAGAGAGTGACGAAACCGAAGGGAAGGGATAAACTACGTCGCTAACGATTTTTAAAACCGAACAATTGGCAACTTAATGGTTATTTTTATTTCAATGAGAATGACAGAGAAAAGTATGAGCGCTTTATACTGTCATCTTGAAAATGTTCCAGAATAAAAATAACATTTATATGCACGGAATAGAAGGGTCCGGTCAAATGTTTTCATTCAACAAGCGAGTATTCAAGACGTAGTGTTTCAAGAATCACTTCAAAAATTTTATCACGCGTTTTATAGGAAAAAATAAGGATCGCACATATTCTTTTCTCAGAGTAAAACAATGTTCTTAAAACGCAGTTTGATAAAATCAATAGAAATGTATAAAAAATAAATAATTAGATTCAATTAGAATAAATTTAGATATTCTTCAAAATGTCAATGATAAAAAACTTCAGATAAATATTATAAAAATATTTTTTAATTTTCAATTTACGAGAAGCAGCCATATTGATTTTATCTTTTCGAACCACTAGGGAAAACTATTTTATCGAAGAAAAGTGACTCGGGCAGTAATTTTATTACTTCAAATAGAATTACAATTTGTTTGATGAAATATGAGAGCTCCCTTCGTTCAAGTGCGCTCACATTTTATCATTAAACTGTGTTATCGATGATACTCTACCTGAAAGAAGCGAACCTCTTGTTTCCGAAGCTTACTCCAGATAAGGCATTTAAATCCAACCCTCGATGCGGTAACTGTCGCGACAGATGGCCACCGTCTAAATTACGATTGCTTGAACCTTAAAAATATCAAAAATCTGTACTATGTTTGTATAGATTAATTCTAATCAGAAAAAGGGGTGACTGAATATAATATTTTGTGAAAAATTCAAGGTGATCGAAAAATTACTTTGAAAGAATGAATACACCTGTGCAGATAAAGTTTTATTCACATATATTTCATCTATATTTAATAAAAATAAAAAAGCAATTAAAAAATAATACAACGCTTGTCTCTTCTCTAAAATATAACTGTGGCGTACAATCACAATTAATTAATCTTACGGTTTTACATATTGTTTTTGAAAAAAATCTTAATTTAATATTAAAGTTTGTTTAATTTCAAAGAAATAAAAGTGTACACGTATTTCTGAACGACAGATTCTAATTGTTTACGTATGTAGAAAAAAGAGAGAAAGAGAGCGCATGACACATAAAATACTGTTAGAAAATTCAGAGTGTGTCATTTAACGCTAAATAAAAACAAAAATCAATGTTGAAAAGAAGCTTTTCTTCGCGTTTAATACGATCGTTTTTAAACCGTTGAGGAGAAAATCCTGTTTCTTCATTCCGAAGATTCCTTCGGATCCACTTCCATCAAGCGTCGTTGTAAAATCAATTCATGCTTCTAACGAGGTTTCCACCGCCGATAGAATCTAAGTTCCTCACAAGGTTTCCACCACCGATCTGATCTAGATTGCGCGCGAAGAGCAAATTTTCAAAGGTATCTCCGTCGGATTGGCGATCGGCATGCCGGTTTTCAGCGTTCGTGTAATCGATGCTTCTAACTAGATTTCCGCCGCCGATCTGATCCAAATTTCTCCTCAGGAGATTTCCGCCGCCGATCTGATCCAAATTTCTTCTCAGGAGATTTCCGCCGCCGATCTGATCCAAATTTCTCTTCAGCAGATTTCCGCCGCCGATCTGATCCAAATTTCTCTTCAGGAGATTTCCGCCGCCGATCGGGTCCAAATTTCTTCTCACGAGATTGCCGCCGCCGATCTGATCGAGATTTCTCGCAACTCGTCCGTCGCTTTCTCGTGCGTTCTTCAAACTGTCGCGATCACTTAAGTAAAACGCAAGTAATTTATTGGTAGTTAAATCGTAACTGTACGGGCGATTTCTAATTGTTTCTGTTTGGCCATGCGCATTAATTGCGTTCTCGTTATTGTCAAAATCTATGTGTTGAGCAAAGCGATCTTTTTCGAATTGCACGCCGGTGTCCCTTACGAAATGCTCGTCGCCAATTTTGTCCAAATTTTGCTTCACGCCCTGATTTGTTCCTACAATAACCGAAAGCACAAAATTAATATTTTCCGTTGACTGAAAATCAATATCATTTCGATGAATGCAAGTTTTCGTGAAAAAGCTTTTATTACAATATGTTTATAATTACATCGCACTATCTACAATGCACGTCGCGTGTTTTGTGCGTGCATTGTGCTATACAAATAACGATAAATCATATACAAGATAAATCTAGAAAGAAAACGAGTGTGTATAGACACAATTTAGTTTTATATCGAAATTTGAATTCATCAAAATTTTTCGCTCGCAATAGCGTCATGCACACTACAAATCTGATGTCTGAGATAAATTAAATTTGTTTTATTAAATTTTGTTTTTTAACGTCAGGTGTTTTTTTTCAAAACGATGTTGTTTAATTCAAATTTACAGAGTTGCGCGATATCGCAAAATAAAAATTATTTAAGTACACAAAAAATGCATGCAGAATTTGTCACATCAATATGTTTGTTACAATATACTCTCTATAACGATTGATGTCTTTCGTACAATCGCTGGTGCAAAAATTATATTTCTCGACTTCTCATGCGTCATTTTTTTTTTTTTTTTTTTTTTTTTTTTAGATAAAAAGAAAAAAACCATGCTCGCATGCTGTGTGCGAAACAAACTTCGTCGTGCGATGGATGTTGGGGATAAATATTGCAAACGGTGTGTTGCACATTCATGCGAAGCGAACGCTCGCGTACGCTGGCATACGCAAACAGGCATAGCATGACATTTTAGCGAATTTTTACGCACCTATACTGTCATTACGCTTACCTCTTCTCTCGTCGACGATTTTATCGACGCGTGCAACAATTTTCCACGAGCTTGACACTCACTCGCGCAAATAACGGGGAGGAGTAAACTTTGATATCGCAAATTTACTAAGACTAGATAGATCGACCTACGTCAATTTTCTATTTAACGCGACGATCATTATCAAAACATACGCGTTCTAAATAGACGTTGGAATCAGTGGCATAGATTTTGTTAATCTAATATAAAAGAAAACTAAACCGCGAACTCTTGTTGAAAGAAAATAGATCGGAGTCGCGAAAAGGTCAGAATGACAAAGTGTGAATAAATGATGCGCTGACTTTGTGAGTGACATGAGATATATTGATTATATCATCTCATTTCTGCGACTCATCATTTGCGTACTCGTCGTTAAATAAAACTCATTATTAATTAAATTAGAATGTTTCTAACAACATTAGACCACACCTTACTTAAGTCAGTGTCTATTTGATCGAAAAACAATTGTCAAGACGTTTTTGAAGTTCTTATAATTTTATCAAAATCTATCAGCACTCGATTTAAAATTCTAAGACCTAACCTGTTAGACTCGATTCGTCGTTTGATTATAAAATTGAAAAATAATAATTTAAGTAATCTTACGTAAATACTTTTTTCACTTTACACATTTTAAACATTAATTGGCGTGCGGATAACAATTGAAATTGTCGCGAACGACCGAATCAAACTGTTGGTGCGTGGGTTTTTTGTGTTTTTTTCCAAGATAAGTGAGGGCATCTTGTGACTTTATGACGTTAGAAATGTCGATCGTAATGTCCTAATCGAGTCGTAAAACGCAGTTAGAGGGATGCACTGTAATATCCTTGATTTCGTCGTAAAACCGCTTCTTTTATAACCGCTTTCTGTCTATATAAGTTTTGCGTAGTTTTTGAAACATGTTTTTTTTTTGCACCATCCGTTTATTATTTACACGTATATATTTTTTATAACTATCGTAATATATTTTATATAGGCGAGGTCGTAAAAAAAATTCACAAAGTAACGTCTAACGATATCACTCATCATTTTAACAAAAAAAAAAATATTAAATTTAAGGAATTCTAGCAATATTTTTTTATGTTTTTTTTATGTTCTATGTTCATACATGGAATTAGAATTGTCTGAATTTTCTCTTTCAAATGCACATGTGTGTATTTTTTAAATATATGTTATTTAATATATTCACAAAATATGTTTAGTTCAAGAAACGTAAATTTCCAGATAATATTCTCATGTCACGTTAGTTCAATTAATTGCAATTATACGTGACACACAGCAATTATCTATTCAGCCGAACACATCGACACGGTCGACTGATGTCCGTGTAAGTAATTAATCGAAGTTTATAACGTTAAGTACAAACGTATGAGCGCGCGCGGTTTATAGTCATATCGAACTATCTCGACACACAATTCCGATGATAAACCGTAAACGTAGTATAGATGTGATACATCAAAGGGCAAAGGATCACTACACGGTTTACACCGGTGTAGTAGCCTCGAAGCGTGATAATATCGATTACGCATCGTTTTATAGATATATTATCCTGAAACAATTCGCTATAATTAGACGATGCGTGCGCAATGATACGCGCGTTTAAGATGAGAGATAAATTGACGATTTGCTCGCGTGTATATTTGTTAAAAAAAAAAAAAAACCCCTATAGTTCTCATGATTTATATCTGCGTTGTGAAGCTTAATACTCGCTTTTTTGGTTAATGATTCCTTTTGTTTCAGTTTCTCTCTAGTATAGCTCTACATATTTCGTATTTATCTATTGTAATTTTACAAAGCTAATATTTGCTAACGATATTTCTTTCACAGAGTTTTTTCTTCGTCCAGGTTTTCTTTCATTTTAACGAGCGTAATCTATGTAAATGAGAGTTTTTTCTTGACTTTTAACGCACACGCTCATTACATACCGCGATCATTCCAGTATCTTGCACCGAAGTTCACCAGCGGCCCGTACTCGTCCCGTTGCAACGTATTCGATCCGTCGTGTAACTGAAAAAACGAGAGAAGAAACTTACTAATTGTAGCCGTAGGCATTTTGCGCACATAAGTGCGCACGGTCTGTATTATCCGGTTTAGTCATTTGGACGAACAAAGCTAGCCGCGGCCACGGGGAAGTTTGCTTACATTACTATGTTGTTAGTAAATTACTTGCTCTGAGTTAGACGCTAATTTTCTTTTAATAAAACTTATAATTTGTTGTTTCTTTTTGTGAAAAACATGTAAAGATTGTATACTTTAGCTTTCTTATAAATATTTATAAACAAACGCGGAAATGCTGCGCGTTGAGGTAAAAAGTTTCTCATCAATACGTAATTTAAAAATCTTTTGTATCTCCTTGTATAGAAAACGTTTTGCATTATATATGTGCTGTTTAAAGAAATTTATCGGCTTAATCTTTCTAGTTAAAATGCAAAGTGCATCGCGTCGCGTATCGTCACCGTTTGCTTTGAGCGTCGCGAGTTTACATTATTATCTTTAACGTTAACGAGCTTATCGCATTGTATCAAAATGATAATAAGTAGCTAAAGTTCATTTATTCGCTTAAGATTCGCTTCCCCATCGACGGTAAAAGTCCGAACGTCATCGCGGACATTAATACAAGGCAAAATCGATTTTTTTTTTTTTTTTTCTTTTTGAATATACGACGTTTAGATTCACGTGCAAAGCTCATTCTCGTCGCGCGACGACCGCCACGTGCCACTGTTATCGCAACAGCTTATCGGAGTCGCAAAAAGTGTTGCCACATTATACTAATTAGAACTTCGTTTTGTTGTACGATCCCAATCGAACCTTCCGCAAAGTTACATTTAAAATAACGGACGTTGTGTTTCCATTTCAATTGTCAAGTGACAGGTACGTGACGCATTTGTCTCAATATTAAGCAACAACAAAACGTGAAATTAAATATAAAAGCTTCACACGTAACTATTCTTCACTGTTTCGACTCTAAATAGCAAAATTGTATTTTATGACGTCGCACGGTAGCGTTCGGCAAATGTTAGATTTTTGGCTTCCTCCGGACAAGGGCAGTCAGCGATATAAACTTTTTCTGTATATTTTTTTATTCAAATATTTTTATTTGTTTGTTTGTTTTGAATTATTATTAATTCTATATGTATACCGCAGAACTGAGATAATCAATAAAAGGCAAAAAAATAAAATAATAAGATAATATAAACTATTTTTCTATAATCAATTGTTAGATTTTATGGAAATTGCTTTTCGAAGAAAATAGGTAAACGAGAGTTTTATGACTTGCGTGTCGATAAGTGTTCCGTTTTAATTTTTAATATTTTTTTTCTTCAATTCAGAATAATCACTTAAATATTAACGTCGCTTCAAGTTCAACTGTAACTTTTCCATGCGAATCGATACACATATTACGGTTAATAGGTACGACCATTTTGTCATTACATCACTTGTACTTGACTCGCATGACCAATTATCGAAGGTTAAGGTCGATGTCGAAGATCTTCCGTTTTACGTTTGTTCGAAAAAAAAAAAAATTGTCCGCGTACATATTTGCGTATATTCCAGTTTGGTCGAAAAATAATAATCTTTGTTTTTTATTTTCTTCAAAAGTTTACACCAAACGGTGAACATTCGACGAAAGCCGACGGAAACGACTGTCTTTGTTTCTCTTATTGTGTGTTCGCAACGGTTAGTAAATCGAATTTTGCGAAAGAGCTTTTCGCTTCAGGGCTTTCCGGACCGCAAACAAGCTCTCGCAACATACCGAAAGCTAATAGAACGCGAGAGGGAAATACAATTTCACGTGAAGCGCGCCGAAGGACATGAAAAATTCTGCGAATTTCACGGATTTCATTTTGTCCTTAAAACCGGAGCGCGCCGTCGGCAACGAGTCTGGTGTGTGCTTGCACAGCTTCGATCGCTTAACAAAGCTCTGATGAAATCGCACATTTCTCATCACGCACTTGCTGTTATTAAACAACGAGTCGAGTACCCGAGCGCTAGTACCTGACGATTAATAGTGCAGTTAACGAAGTCAATGAAGTTTCGACCTATTTCGAATAGAAGCGCGCAACCGACGCGAGAATTTACCGGAGAAGTAAATGAAGTCCTGCGGGAAGAGAATGGGACGTATATCGCGTGTAACAATCTTATTTACGGAAAAACGCAAAGTCTGTAAAATTGTCGTCGTAAAGTAAAAATAAACAAGAAAATAGAGAAGGAGAGAGAAACAAGAAAATCCTCTTTACCGAGAACGCGGGATTGTGTATAATTGCAAACAAACTCGGTGAGAAATGTGACATTAAATTAAAGAAACTTTTTAATAAATGATACAATTAAGCAGTGTTTTATAAATAAATCAAACGTAAATAAGCCGCGTCTCTGTTGTTTTCGAGATCGGAAGATTTAAGGGGAAAAGCCCGGGATTACGACGACGAGCCAATATATGCTCGTGTGCGCACACGCAGCGTCCGTTCTTTATTACAACGCCGGATTCGAATATCATCATCACTGATACGCATGCTGCGCGCAGCTGCCTCCCATAGACGCTAGTATTAGTATGCATGAGAAAACTTTTCTCGGAGGAACCACACGGTCGCCATAACGTACATGCATTACCTATCCTATCGCATTCGAACTTTATCCGTTCGTCGCTATTGCCCGAACGAATATATCTCTCTGTACGTGTGGCTATCGCGAATGTCCTTGCAAATTACAATCTCGCGTGTCGTTGTGTATCGCGCGCCACGTACTTGCCTCAAGTTTCCACATTAGAGACAGCCGATGGTATCGTGGGGTGAAATATGCGGGAGAAAACGTTAGTGTAAGAAGCATGTTGTTTCTACGCAACGTCGTTTCTCGGATTGTTCGCGCGTTAGTTCGAAAAAGGATAGAGAGACAGAAAAGATGACGACTTTTAATTTTGCTCGATGCACATGCGCCAAGAGATTTAAATAAATAATATAAATCTTATTTAAAATTTACTTTAAATAAAAAATAAAGTGAAATTGAAGTGAAGTCGAAAAATTATTTTCTCAGCGAAAGAAGTAGATGCACGCGCCAAAAGAAAAGTCATTTTTACAATTCTCCTTTCCTCGTTTAAAAGTTCGAAAAAACTATCGTTTCAAATCCCATTAAGATAAAATATTAACGCGTGTAATTTTCTTCAAAGCTTCTTTTTTCGCAATTTTTCCTCCCGAAGTTATAAAAACGTACGGCAGAGCGAAGACGACTGAATTTTATTTTCCCGCTCTCCCTTACGTGCTCGCGATTCATGTTTATTTATTTCGTGTTCACGTATTATCCGTGTCATTCAAATACCGTCTTCTCACTTATATTCACGTCAGAAACACAGAAACTCCATTTTACTGTCGTCATACGCGCTTTTATCGAAAAGACCTGGCCGGGATATCGCTTCAATTTGCGGAAATGCGGGTCGCGGCAAAGTGCGTCGTCGCGGCTCATCCGGCAAAAAGTTAATTCCGGAAACCATTAAACAGTCTCGCGCGTGTGCAGAGATACTGTCTTCGGGCGAGGAAAAGAAAAGAACCTTGGTGGCGAACCGAGTAGCGAAAAGACTATTTGGCGTGTTCGCAACTTGGAAGAACGCAATCGCACAACAGCTCGATGCAACAAGTTGCGAATGCGATGAGGCACATCCGAGGCGCGCCGTGAGCGACGAATTGTCGGCATAAGTAGTAAAAGCGCGCGCAACGAATACTCGATATATAAGAAGTTCCCAAAGGAGGGGTCTTAAACGAGGCGGGATTAACATCAAGCAAGAACTCAAGTAGATTTCTGCGAGCAAAGACGGAAAAAAACGCCGCAATTTCATCAAAGATACTGCAATCTCTCACCCGCTTTACAACGTTCTTCATAAAGGATTTACCTTCGTAAAAAGTTTCAGCTTTCTTTCGCGCAAGGCGGCTCTTAATTTGATTGCGCAACTGCTACAAGTATCCCGACGGAAAATTTAATACTGTTGCAGTGTGTAGAAAAAAAAATAGATAAATAGATTTGGAATAAAGATACTTTTTGACCTTTATAATATAATAATATCATCCCGTCCGTATTTTACATAAAATTCACATATAGCTATAATAAACAGTCAACCTGCACGGTCTTAATATTGAATTAGTCGTGTACATATTGTTAAGAAAATTTCGCTGAGAAAATTTTGAAACAATAAAATATTAATTGGAAAAAAGCCGGAAATTCGAGTAATTGCCTGCTAAAATATTTTATTGTTATAATAATTCTATTAATTATTAATATTATTATAATATATGTTGTGAAAAAAGAAAAAGTTGAGTAAACGCGCGCGTTACTCATTAAGTAGTTCGTAAAAATTTACTTGAGTGAAATTTTTCTGAAGCGCGGAATAGTTTTGTAGTTTCTTTTTGAACATTATTTTTGCAAAGACTCACACGACTGACAAATATTTACAAATATTTTGAGATTTAGTAAACGCAATATACATTACATTATCAATCATAAATTATTAGTGAAATCAGAGATGCAATTTCATTTCGGTATCATGTTTGTTATTAACGTGAGAAACTTGCTTCGATTACACGCAGCAATCATATATAATTGTATATCGATAATTATATTAATTATTGTATAATTATATTATACAATTATTGCATAATTGTATAATCACTGTAATTATTGCATAGTTATATAACAATAGCGTTTGTAAAATTCGGATGTACTTTGATCTCTCGTTTAATTTGATCTTATTTTTGTTATTGTCGAAATTCATAAACACCGATCGTTTATACGTTTGCGTAAACGTCGTTCGTGCAAAGCCATTATTTGCAATTATAATGATTAGGCAGCGTGAATACGCGCCTGTTGCGCGAGCTCGTTGCGAATTAGAGCGCACACATTCGGCAACTGTTACTGTTTAATCTAATTAATCCGAACTGCAAAAGTGGCGATTTACCTTTTACATGGAAAAAAGCTCGTTTGCACGTACGCGATACGCCGCGAGAATTATATTGCGCATTTATTCATTCCGAACGGGCAATTGCTTCAATCCGCAGATTGCAAATTGCGAGCTGCTTATTAATTACTTTTGCGTACCGCGTAAAACAATCGAGATGGAAGGTTTTTACGCAATTGCAAATTATCGCGTTACTTCGGTATTGTGCGCGCGTTATCGATGCGCAAATTTGCGAGGTTTTCATTTTTGGAATTTTTACATCGCGTGACACATGACATATCGTTGTTTACAAATAAAAACAAAAAGGAATTCGATGGGTTTCAGCGCCTTTATACATGCATTGGCGCTTTACTGCGCACACATGTCGAATAAATTTACTTGAAAGTCCATCACCGCGCGCGTGCATGTTGGCTAAAATTTTTTAACCGATAACGTGTCGATACGCAAACTTTTCCGTATCCACATATGTGACATTGATGCATTATATATTATTTTTATTTTAATTTTATATCGTTATCATATGTGCGTTTTGGACATAATTTTAATGATCAACAAAAACCAAAAGTTATATGTACTAAACATTTTGAAGAAGTTTACTTTTTTCATAATTTATTTTATAACAAAGAAAATTATGAATCTCGAATAAACTAAATTACAATTGATCAAAGTAGCTCGTTAATTCGAGTTTAAACGTTGTCAAATTCCCACGCAACTTTTTACGTTGAAACTCGCCAATTACAGATATTCCTGTCAAATAATTTCGACTACTCTTTACATTAAAAATAAAACTCAAGAATGAAAATCGAAGAAAATCGAAATTTGCATTTTGCGACTTATTTTTTTCACAATTGACGAGTTACTTTCATCGTCGAATGATAAGTGATCGACTTAATTAATCAAAGTATTGTCAATGCAGTTGGAGTTACATTGGCGACACGTGAATGAGGGGCACGTCTTACCTGAACGGGTCCAGCCGCCGCGTAAGCGGCGATGAAAACGATCGCGATCGATGAGCCAGAAAATGCCATTTTACGCCGCGTCTGTAACAATCGAGGCGCGCGATGACCGGTGTGTAAGTGTGTGCGTGTGTCAGTGTCGCACAATAGATGACTCTCCCTCGTGACTCTCGATCCTTTCAGCCGGGAAAACTAATCGGTCGCGGTTTTCCTCCGAGACTCTTGATGCTCACGTTGCGAAAAACGCGTGGAGTGCCCCGAGTCTCGCGCTTCTGCGAAATATATAGAGCTCTCTCCTCTGTGTTCAGGAAGGGGCGCAAACGTCGCGCAGACGCAGGCACGGCGCCACTCGCACCCTTCAAAACCGATTAGCTGATTTTCCTTGGTTTTCTTTTTTTCTTTTTGCCACAAAATTTTCATGACACTCTCGGCGTTTGCAAATAGTTTGCTGTTTTTTTTACATCTGCGGTTTTTAAAATCCCCAACGTTTTCACGATACAACTATAAATACGTTACACAATTGAAGGTGTAAATGCCTTTGCACGTAAAGTTGCATCAACAATATCTCTGAACAATGAAAAGCGTTATTTGTAGTTTTATGTGCGAGGGAGTTTACGACTGTGTCTATATCTCCTTTTGCTTCCTTTTGTTGTCCCGTCAAATTCATTCTGAAGTTTCTTTTGTTGCCTCATCTCATCTAGTAGGTCTCTTGCTTATGACGATATAAATGGAAACTTGCTATTCATCAAATTTAATAATTTGCAATAACAGCAAATCGATCGACGCTCGTCGTACAAACTATATTTTACACGCTTGCAGTCTTTTGTCGCATAATTCCTATAAGTTGAAGGACTGTTTATAGCCTAGACAGACAAAACGAAGTTAACTCGTCAAATCTGAGTCATCTCTTTGGTTGAAAAAAAAAAAAAAAAATCAAATAAAACGATCTTCAAAAAATATGTCAATTAACGTTCGTAGTTGTTTGCGTCAAAACGACGTTCTGAAAAGCGGGGAATTAATATCGGGAGATAAGCACAAAGTATGTACGCAGGTTGATATCGCTTAAAAGTTTAACAGTGAGATCATCCACTATCCTCGAAACAATCGAGGTCTTTAATTCTTCTAACAGATTAAAATCGAACAATATTTTTAATAACACTCGAACAAAGACTTCGATATAATCCGCGCTCTGCAGATCCTGTGAGCTAATTGTATCTCCGATGTTCGCGTGTACGATTCGTTAACTTCTGTATTGTATAGTTAATTATTTCACACGGATACAAGATGCAATTCGACAAATAGCAGCTGAATTTCGGTCTTGTGTATAAAAAAATTCTTGTTTATAAAAAAAATCATCTTGCATAGAAAAGAGTGACATCCTTTTTCTTTTTAGAAAAAATGATTTATGTGTGTGATGACACTAATGATTTTGGCAAACAACACGATCGTGTCATCCTCGTGACGCTTCGTCACCGCGAACTGATTTAATCGCGGCGCGATTCCTGTGTTCGCGTAGATGCAAAAAAAAAAACGCAAACTATAAGAAGAGCCGGGAGGGAACGGGGGGGAGTAACAAATACGCGCGATCGATCCCGCTCTGATGCAGAAAATAATTCTTTGCGTGCGCATATAATGAAGTGTCCGCTTATGCGTGTCGTGAACAACACGCGCGAAAATGATGCAATAATTAAAAGATGTATTGATGTACATTGAAATGCACTCAAAGCAATGTCACGGGGACGGGGTAATCGTTTTACGCAAAATTACACACAACACGAGCTTATGTGAACATTTGAATTGAATTTAATTCAAATTTTCACGTCTAAAACATATGTTTACATCATGTAGGCTCCTATTGATTTCTGATTTAAGTTGTACAATATATTAATTTAATACATTATCTAAGGAAATTTCTTTCTCTCTCTCTCTCGCGAAAATTCTGATTTTGAAAAAACTTCGCACACTCCTTTAAGATCGTTTTAGGACAGCAATTAAAAATTTCTTACATTCATCTAATTCACCCTCTCTGTAAAGTTACATCAGAATTTTCGAATTCGCGAGATTGTAAGTACACTTTTGTCATCTTTCTACGTGGGCACTGTAAAATCAAACATGTCGCGCGTGCTGTTGCCGCTAATATGCGACGTTGTGATCCAATCCCTATAATATTTGATTTAATATAATACCGAGCAAAAATAGTATTAACCGGATTTTCGAAAAGAGCATTCCACGGTTTACGCAATTGTGTAACTCGCGCGAAACAACAATTCGTCTGAAACACACGTAGCACAGTTTGATCACAAATCCGTGAATTTCGTTCTACCCTCCACCTCCAAAATGAATGGGGTGAGGTGAGAGCGTGCGTTTTCATTACCTCTCTCCGCATGTGGGATAATGGCGACATTTCTGCGTAACGTTTTGGTTAGCTTGCTAACGCCGTCCTCTGAGAGAACGACTCGCGGTCCCAATACACCGACGTGTCGTTAAAACTTGCAACTGGTGCTCGTTAAAAACAAGCCGTGTGTTTCTCTCCCGCGTTCACATTGGTGTAAAGCCGTCGATCGTTACTTCCATTTCGATTGTTCGCTCGCGGATATTGACGTGACACTCGTTTCTTTGATGGCAATCGAACACACGCCCTTGTGTCACATCACTTTTCGTTCGAGTTTCAGTAGCGCTGATGACTTTGCACGACAGATTGCCGTCGGTTCAGCAAAACTGTTTCTTCTATAAATAATATCGTCTATATTATTAGACAGTTTTTAAAAATTCTCGTATTTTCCTTTCTCGTACTTTTTCCTTTACTTTAAAATTTTAATTAAAAATATTTTAAAAAATATTTGTTATATGTACATATTTTTATACATGATATGATTTACAAAACGAAGATACAAAATAAATAAAACGGTGATGCGAAATTTTTCTTAAACTGTAAAATACATGTAAGTTATCACATGTTGTAACAGTATTAAAAAAAAAGCGCGTATCAATAACCGGATCAATATTCGCAATAAATCTTTCGATTGACAACTTGACGAACTTACTGAGATATATTTCACGGACCATTTCCATTTTGTTTGTCGGAAAATTGCGAGTAATTTTGAAAGCGGTTCCTTCGTAGATTCCGGACTCCCAAAACGCATTTGTCAATTGCACGTCGGTGCTGACAAATAACGGACAGGTATCGCGAGATTGGAGTTTCATAGGCGTTGACGTTACAATCGACGTTGCAACGGTATACCTGACGGTGTCCCGAACAAACGTTTCGAGCGGAATTGACGGACTGCCCTTACACGCGCCGCGTCTCCGTCAGGGAAGTGAAAAGTACTCCCGTGTATAAATAGACGCGAGAGAGAAAGAGAGAGAGAAAAAAAAAGAAGACAAAAGAGACAAGCTGCGTGGACGCGGCTCTCGAACAAAAGGCCGCTGAAATCCTCCACGCATCCCCCTCGGGACAGATATCGAATGGCGTTAATGGCGTCTTGGAATCTTACCTATCGCCGGAATATACGTATAGAGCCCGCTATTATTTTCATAATTTCGTATATAAGGAGCGAATGTTGGAGACGAGTCCTCAGTATACGGTGGTGGCTCGCGCGGGACGTGTCCTGGGAAGAATGAAGCTCCTTATTCTTTGCGTAAGCATCATCGACTTGTTCTATGTGTGTGTGTGTCGGGACTCCTCTTCACGTAATTTATTACACCGCATCACGCTCGCGCGCAAACATGTGATACTTAATATATTACATGGCGTTTTGCCTTAGCAAATTGTGTGAGAAAACGGTTTTAGCAAACAGTCTTTTTCAATTCATTTTTTTATCCAAGACGATATGACGGAAAAATCGACAACTTAAAACTGACGATACGTTCTAAAAAATTATATCTCTTGGCTTTTGCCAAGTCACTTAGCTCGGAGAAAACAGTTTTTAAGATATTTCACTCGAAAAGATGTTGATTTTTCATTATCGTGAAGAATGTCATCCAAAATTCCAATAAAGAAATAAAGTTTTTCGCTCGCGAGAGGAATTTCAATCTGATCTTTAATTAAAAAATGTTTGAAACGCGCAATCATCAGGTAATGATCCACGGTTTGTCGGCGGAGAGTCCTGGGCAGGTTCTGTCAATCAATCGATGGAAGGAGCAAGTCGTCGCTCCGGAGTTTCTTCTGGACAATCGCGAAGATATCAACCAAAACCCCTTCTCTTACGAGGACAAGCGCAGCTTTCGTCCCGAGAGTCTCGGCGAGCAAGTTAAACGTATTACCGGCACCGGCGAGGACGTCGGTCTGCAGCCACGTCTCGTAACTACAGTACGTTTTTGCATTATTCACAAAATCTCTCTCTCCCCAGACAAGAGGGTAGACAGTGTTTAATCAACTTGCGCGAAAAAAGTCGCGAATTACAAATGTATTATTTATACAAAGTGGTCGAGCATTTTTTCGCTCGACTTGGCGAGAGAATACTTAAAATTTTTCTCTTATAACATTTCGTCGCGTCAACGATTGGACGGAAAGAGAACATTGTTTTGCACATTAACGATTTTTTTTTCGCGCGTGTATCGCCGCGGCGGCGCGGATTTTAATGGCTAAGGTCATTCGTTTTTATTACCAACCGCGACTGCGAAAACTTTTTACACATTAAACAATTTACGGACGGAAAGTATGTTATGTTTTGCAATATAACATCGCATTAAACGAGCATGTAAATCCACTGCAATTCGAGCTTCATAAACATCGTGCGACACAAATTTCGTTATTTTTTTTTGTCTCATCGGGATACTCATTTCACAAAACTTCCTCTGTGTGTGTGTGCATAAAACATTAATAATATTCTATAAATTATAAACTGGTTTGAGTGAAACAACTGTCAACCGCGAAAAAAGATCACTTGTTGGAATATCGCGTGCTCCGTGAAATTCAGTTCATCAAAATAAGCTTGTTAAAAAGTCGTCAAAGCAACAACGAGCCGCGGATTTTACTCCTTTCCTCTCTTTCTCGTGTACAAGTTTTTTTAATTAATTAATTCTATAATATTACAAAAGATCGTATTACATCACGAGCGATGAAACGACATTCTATCATGTACGATTGCGATACCAGGAGCAATTTCCACACCCATGTGGAAATATTAGACAAAATTTTAATTTGCCTTAATATCTTTAGCGTGTATTTTTTACTTTTAATCTTGCCTTGTTTACGCGAATTAATGTGCAAAGCAACGAGATATGTATGAAGATCATTGATGCGCGTTGTTTAACTTTCAGACGGAACGCAACCTTTTTATTTAATAAAGTTTTTCCTCATGATTTGTGATAGATCTGCAGAAACAACTCTGTCGAATGAGAGGGTTGCGCTGTGAGAGGTTGCGTTCTGCTGAATGTGGTGAGAATTGTATATTATGCTTGAGGGAATCTCTTTCACGCGGGATTCCAAAGGAACAATTTAATTTATATTCAATTTCGATTTGAATAATTAACAAATCGGGTTTATAAAATTTACGAACTAAACTCAAACAACGATGTTGCGAACAATTTTGATGACGATTTAATGATATAAAAATTAACAAAAAAATGGAAATTATCTTTATTAAAGTAATAAATCACATTAATTCTATGACAGGCTTTTAGATCCTATCCAGAGTTAACGCAAAGATTATAATAATCGTTCAAATTCGCAGTCCCTGCAATGTACCTGCGAAACGCAGTTCGAAATAAAAGATCTCGGCGAGGGACATTATCCGAGGTATCTAACGACATCGCGCTGCAAGCCGAAAGCCTGTCAGAACAAGTTCAATTCCTGTCGATTGTTGCACTACATGGTAAGTTCGCGTGACAATCGATAGTACATAGAGGTAGGTGGAAACTAGCGGATTTGCCATTTGACGTGTCGAACCCTCGATCGTCGAGTAATCATGCAAGTGGCATATTAATGGCAACTTTAATCGACTCTGTGATTGTGTACGAATTCTCGGCATTATTCATTTAACCTTTCTGTTGTCGTGTTTCTCACTTTGAGAGTTTGACGCACATGTTCGCTACATGTGCGAGGATTCGCAATGACAATTTAGAACAACCACGTTTACCACGTTCTTGCGCCACAATTGTGTAACAGCTGTTCGCGTAATTATGTTTTGCACGCTCGACTTAACGTGATGTTGCTACGATTATGCAACGTCAGCCATATATTTTGAATGAACAGTGCGGATCTCCTCTTAACTTTGCGTGGGGTCAGCGCATTGATTTACCGCAATTGATGTTTTGCAAAACGTCTCTAAAACATTTTTTTCTCTCTGTTGATTAAAAACAGATACATTTAAACTTTTACGAGTGCGCAATCTATCGTTAAAATAAAAACATAGTCAGAATAAATATATCGGGAAATATTTGCCAATTTTTATTGAAAAAATACAAGAAAATTCGGTTTATCAACAAATGCAAATACAAAAATATTTTTCAACTAGTATTTTTTCATTCTGTGTCTGTTTTTCAGTTTTTGGACGAGAAAGGTTAAACAGTGATGGCGACACGGCATGAAAAAAAAACATGATTAGAGGTCTTGATTGATTTGAAACATCTCGGCGCGTGACAGTGTGTATGTGTGTTCGAAATATTATTATCATTATAAAAACTATTAATATCAAAGATTAATTAGGTCGGTCGGCTTTGTTACATATGTTAACAATTTGCCGGACAATTCTAATTAATTGTGTTAATTTACACTTGTGATTACTCATTTGAGAAGTGTTAGGGATGAGTGATGCGATGAATTATAAGCCAAATGCTGGGGGCGCGCACATATTCATAATTTTAATTAGTAATTTGTGTTATTTAATACTTTCTGTGGAAATAAATCGGAATTTTTTTTAATCAAATTATATGGCTATTAAAAATGCACGACACGAGTAATTTTATATTTCACACAATTAAATATGTTTAGCGATTTTACATAATGAAATATAGTAAAATATAATAATTTTACATAATATTTTTTATAAACAGGACTTACACACATACGCACTGTCTTTTTTCTCTTTGTTACTAAAACTTTTTTCTATAAAGTATTTTCAAAAACATTTACAAGCGATAAAAATTATTTTATTGTTAGTCTTTTTATTGTTATTTTTCTACACAGGTTTACGTGTTGAGCCAGCGCGATTTGAGCGGGTTGAGCGATGATCCTTACTTGGACGATAATACACTTTCGGAAGTTCTACTCCCGGAAGCCCTTCGTCACAAGTGGCAGTTTAAGCGTTGGAACATCCCGGTCGCGTGTGTGCCAATGACAGAATAGACGTGTTCTCCGATGTGCGGCCGTCTCAAGTTTGTCTCGAAACCGATCAAGAAAATAGAATCTAGCGATATCTCTTTGTGTCGAAATTTCGTTGAAAATTTCGATAAATATTTGGCAAATAAAATACGTATTGAATTTTACGTCTCCGCTTGCAACACATACGGCAACATGTGAAATGTAAGACCGAATAAATAATTGGATTGTGCGTTTTGAGTGTAGCGATGATTTCTATCTCCCGTTATGATATTTTTTACTGTCAAAATTATATATTCGAAATTCGCTCTTTATCGCTTTGTGCAGCGAAAACCGCAATTGAATGTCACGTTAAGCGCGAAAAAGATAAAAGCGATTTTACGACGCAAATTGCGGTTTTAGGACCGGTGGCAAAAAATAAAAAAAATAAAAAACAGTGGTAAAGTAATAACACCGCGGAATTTGCTGCGGATTTTTTTTTTTTTTTTTTGAAGCGCGCGCAACAAGTTATATATTCGACGCGTAAAATAATTCGAGAGGCCGAAAGATATCGATCACACGCTGAAAGAGAATATTGAAACTGGTGTGTTCTCGAGCGTCCGTAGGGTTATTGGAGCAATCAACGGCGTGAGAAACGTTGGAACGCAATGAAATCCGCGATACAGAGATCCAATTCCGGAGAGGATACAATTAATACCCCGTCGCTGTAAAATACCCGATTAAAAAAAAAGACGCAGACGCGCTTTAACGACAACGCTTTATCTTTTCTCGTCGGGTTTAATTTTCAATTAAATTTGCGTCTTATTTACACAACACGTTCTTTTGATTTTGGCTCCGCAGAGACAACGAGGTCAAAGGAAAAGATCCGGCTAAAAATTCATTACAGTTCTGATACCGTAAGTATTATAAAAAGAAAACAACGTTACGCTTTTATAGAGGCACTAAACAATTTAGATTAAATTTATTACACAATTTAATGTAACGGTTTATGCTTAGTATTTTATAACACTGTTTCCTTCTCTCTCTCTCTCTCTCTCTCTCTCTCTCACGTAAGGATGTACACAGAACACTTAAATACAAAAAACATTAACGTACAGAGAGAAACAGGATTATGTTATATGAAATTCGTGTCAAATTTGAATAATAATTTCAAACATTGTTTAACTCAGACTCTGCTAATTATATTATTCAAATTTAATCTCATTATACTACTTAATTTAATTTAACAGCTACATGACACCGCAATTTTCATATCATAACACAAATAACAGTGATACGTGTATAATAATAATTAATATGCTAATGCAATGTATATTTACATATACATTGACGAATTTCGATTCTTGATTTCGCGAGATGTATCAAAAACAGATACACTGCGACAACAATCTCTCTTTGCGTAATCGCGTCTACACACCTCCAAGTTTCAATGAGAACATTTCCCCGATAGCTTGCTCTTTACAAGTTGCTCGAGCGCAATCATTCTCTCGCATACGTCGTCGGAACGGAAATGTACGATAAGTTCCTTTCTCTCCATATAGATCCCGAATGATATTTACTTCAGTAACAAGTCTCTTGTAATCACATAAAGATGTTCAACTCGCAAACTGTTTCCGAGAGTACATATTACGTATTCCTTGCATTTGTCCGTTTAACTTCTCAAATTTTCCTTTGCTACGCGAACATTCGACAAGTTATCAGCCGAAGAATCACGTTACATATCAGTTACTATCAATTCCACGCGTGCAAACGGACTCGGTCTAAAGCACTTTAATTCAAAGTTATTTAATTTCAAAATCCTATACATAGGGTCTCGCTTTTGTAACAAAGTTTCAAACATACTACATCTGTATTTGCACTTTGCGAAACATTGTGTGTAAGAGAACGTAGCAAAATTAAATTGTGCAAATTAAAATTTTTGATATAAAATATGCAGATTATACTGAAAACTCAGAAGATTGAAAATAAAATATGAACTAGCGGTCAAATGGAAAATGAGGCGAAGTTGAAACCGAACAATGTTGCACGACGTGCTATTGTTTCGCAAATGAGACAAATATGACCAGTGGCCGGACATTTATTAAAGAAACAATCATTAGATATTCAACATAAAAATTCTCAATAGCTTGGGCATTATTTAAGATGTTTTCAAAAATCAAATTCAATCTCCAACTTTGTATAAAAGTACGTTGTTATTATTATTTCTTTGATAAATGTACGGTCGATACTTGTCCGATCATTCGAATACTTACGTTAATACGTAATTTTATTTCAGAAAATGAGAGATATTTGTTTAAGTAACTTTACAACAATCATTTTTCGCGTGCAGAATAGATTATATTCATTGTATCAAGATGCAAAATTTCCATTACAACTTTTATAAACTGAATCCCGTTTACACGTCTTTAAAGCTTTCGCTGTACTATACCAAGTAAACCTTGCAAGGAGTACAAGCTATATCCATAAAAACAACACGACGTTGTACTCTGCGGGTATCCGCAGCGTTACGTACCAAAGTCCATTGTACATACACGAAAAACCAATACTGTCCTACTCCGGCAAGTCGGTCAGAAGTGAATCTGGAAAATCAGCAGGCTCGAATGCACTCTCTCAATCTCATTAGACAAGTACGTTGTAGATAGCTCCGTCGTCACAATGGCTTGATTCACCATTCGAAATAAGTCACGTGCAAGACAATTCTGCGAAACATTAGTTCGCGATAAACTCGTTTGGTTTTCAAGAGGAAACAAGGGAACTATCTTGATGAGGAGTGTGCAAAAACATTGCAAATTGATTTTCTATGGCTTTTCTCTCGTGCGGAGAGGAAAACTTGTGCAAAGTCACGTACGGAGAAATAAACGGCGAATTATATGAGATAAATAATATCGGATACTTAATTTGCATATAACATATGGAAACAACCTCCTTTTTCTGTGAATTTGAAACGTTGCAACAACTCATCTTGATCTCGTCTCTTATTACAAAATAAAATACAAAATTGCAAAAAGTTATCTTTGTTAAATCATACATTTTTAAATATAAGATCAAAAATTTAAAAAAAAGTTACGACCTAATGAAGAGAGAGAGAGGAATACTATGCGGAAAAACACCTTGTGGCCTTTTATTACAAAACAGAGTACAAACCTGCAAAATATATCAAAGTTATCTTCGTTAAACTATACATTTTTAAATATGTAAAATCAAGCTGTGAAAGTTTAAACAGTTATGATTTAATGGAGCAATGGGAGAACTCTGTGAATTTAAAAGTCATTGCGAAAAAAAATACTCTGTCCAAGAGTCGAGAATTCAGAATTTCGTGCAGTCCGCCCTACCAATTGCCCGGGAAGACACTTGGTGTGAACTTCTGATGATGAATTGTACGCGCATGACTCGTTTATCATACGGTCGAAGCCATGTTTCACTCGCGTATCGCGCGCACGACGTAATTTTTTAAGTTTTATACGGGGAAAATTTTATCCCGACCCGACAGCTTGTCGTCACATCGTGTAAATTACGCGTGCATTCGTCGGTCGATCGAGCATGGGGTAAAATCCCGTTTCGAGAGCGCGCGTTAACAGTTTCCAGAAGCAAACACTCCATCGTTGTTTGCCTTCTCGCCTCGACAATATTGGCCGCTTTCCACCCCCTCGCTTCGGTCTCGACGCCTCCGTGCGTCTTTACAACATGTTATCTCATCGCGCATGTGAACGAGAAAAGTAGACAAAATGCGCACAATTTTTGAAACCATCTCATTTGCACGAGTGAGAATAATAAGGCCAGTAAGCATAAAGGGGATCGGATATTGATAATACGACTTGCATTTGCGCATGCATTCGAACATTAATTTCCACGGATGAAGAACCTCGACGGTAGCGAATATCGTTCTTTTTTTTTTTTTTTTCGGGCAACTGTTTTCCCTACGGAGGACGCTTTACGTGTCAAGGCCAGAAACGCCGTAAAACCACCCTAGACGCCGTCATTTACGAAAATAGACACGGAGCGGCACGATTACTAGACCAAAGCGGTGTGATAAAGAGAGAGACGTGCTTTTCTCGAACTTCTTCCAAAGATAATTTATATCCTAAGAAAATCAAGTTTCCCCCTCTCTCCGTAGTAGTATTTACTCATCGTTTTGTTTATGCAATCCGAATTCTGAACAATCAGATACGCGCGATCCCCAGATTTTTAGATCGTGATTGATTACCGGTTTTTTTTTTCACGCCTACACATCATCCGATATATTGGCCACTTAGTGCCATTCTGGCTCTCGAGAGCGCGCATATAGCCACTCGAGCCACTGTTTGCGCTCCGGCTGATCTTTCATTTACCTTGCAGGTAGACGCGTTGCCGGCCGGCTTAGTCGTACTTCGCATCCACTATCTTCGCTTCCTATCGCTTTGCTAACGTTTGTATCTCTGATAAAAGTGACGCTGGTTGCGCGCGTCAAATCGAAACGCCGCGCGAAACCACATATTCGATCGATAATTAACTCCAGTTCTAAAGCTCTATTTTTCGAAACACTCTTGAAAAATCATTTGAAATAAATTATGTAAAACTGTTTTTGTCGTTGCAAGAGAATTAGTAAAAAATACGTTCAAATTCACAGTTTATTTTTAGAGTTTGAAAAGAAAACGTTGGGATTAAAGTTAATGCTTTCGACCAATGAACGTGTTACTGCTGAATAGAATAATTCAGACGACGAAGATTGAATGAACGTATATAACAAGCTGCGATGATTGTAGTATCATCCAAGTAATTCGCTACAGCTGCAACATGTAGGTACGCACACGTCATATCGTGTTGCACCTATAAAAATATAAGCCAACATTGCGATTTTTTAGTTTTTTATGTCATGTAACAGCACGTGTTCTTATCTGTGTTTACTCAGCATGAACTCTGTTCAAGATCATCGTATATCAAAAAGAGGGTAATCTGGTATTAACACACGAACTAACTGCGTAATCACTTACGAGAATAGCTGAAAATAAGCTAGCTCCTCTTAACTTGGAGATTTTGGAACACGAAGCGCCCAGGTAATTTCAGACCGGAGAATTTATTTGCCATAAATCGTTCTCCGATTTAGAACAAATGACGAACGAATGAACGAGCGAATTTTATTCGATAATGAAACAGTGTATGTAATAAATAAATAAGTAAATGGAATATCGTTTAGCGTATTATAGCATTATTTTCTAAGATTAGTTTTTGTTGTTTATAGTTATTTTTATTTGATTACAAAGTAATTAAATAGCGGATTAAGTTTTATTTGATATAGTTATTTTTATATATTACGTACTGAACTGACGTGTAACAAATCTACCACATAGTAGACTCTACGAAGTTAAATTTAAAAAAATCCTCGGGATGACTTAATTTTGTTAATTAATTAAGGCCATCGAAACGTGTAATCACATTTGAAGATTGGGAGAATAAAAATTCGTGCGCGCAAAAGCCAGCATTGACTCTATTTTTTATCTTTTTTTCTTTTTAATTTAATTTTGTGATACGTGAAAAAGGAAGGTTAATGGATATTAAATCGATACGTGTCGTACCAAAATTCATCGGCCATAATATTGTTCGTCTCGGATACAGACGCGAGTTCATTAACCTTCTGACGGTTATGCCGCAAGGTCAAGGAAAAGTCTCGTTTGTGTAACAGCTCTTACGTGACACGTCGGAAGCACTTTAAGTTCAGTAACGCCTCGGTAACTTCACTCCGCGAATACTTTTTTTTTTTTTTACTTTTAACTATCTCGCGTTCTATTGCTGCTTTTGCTCTCACTTTCAGAATATCAGGAACGTGCTTAAGGAAAATTATATATATATATTTTTTTTACAAAAGTTTACTTTGCGATGTCGCGATATTGATTCAAATTATATTACATATATATATTTTTTTCAAATATTGTATATTTACACAATTTTATTTTCTCTGTTATATTTTTTCGCGCAATATCAGTCAAGCGATTTTTTTATAGAAATGATTGTCGAGAGAATCGCCATGACTGATTCCTGCCATATAAACGCCTTTGTATATCTACAATTATTCATAATTTATTCAAAAAAAAAAAAACATTTTACTATTAAACGTATGTACGCAACGTAATACGCTTCTGTTTATTGAACGAAAATAAAGATCATTGTTGCGTGAACGCATTTTGCGACCCCGTTCTTCGTTCACAAGGTTGTTCCGCACAATTTCAACTGCGATTAAATTGCATATCGCTGCATATAGTCGCGAGTGGGTGTCGCGAATCTCTCATAGACATTTGGATTTTGAAAATGAGGTCTCGCGCGCGTGATAACGCTGTTATGCAGCTCGAACGATTAATAACGAACGACGTTTATAGACGCACGATGATGCATCGTGAGATCGAATATAGTTCGCGATATTCTAAGCTAAATTAACAAAATGTTTTCTCATCCAATTTTGACGTTCGGTCGTGAATATTAAGCACATTCTGCGCACATCAAATCGTATATTCGTCAAATCGTTTTCGCATCTCATCCATCTATAATGTGATTTGCCAGTACATCTACCAATATTTTTGAGCAATACTCGGAATAGTAATTTTAAATATCTAATAACATATGCACATAATGCACAAAAATTTGCTTACACTTTTGTTAAATATAATATTGTTTATAAAGCGTGTTTTGGAGCTTAATTGATTTTTTTTTTTATTTTTGTTACATAATTGTATTTAATATAATAAATATTATCGCGTATTTTATAATTTTTTCTCTGAAACAAAAATTCAAGAAGAGGAAACCGCGAGACACTGTCGCAGATTAAAGTAGAAAGATCTCGTTATGCGCATGGCAAACGTCAAACGCGGTCAAACGACCCACTTGCTGCGATCGAAACACTTCGTTATTGTTGCCACGTTCGTAACATTCGAAACACGATGACCAGCACGGTCTTCGGTTTCTTGTTTTGCGCTTTTATAACGGCGAGCTTCGTGGATTCCTATCGATCGGACGGATACAATGGTATTTATAAAAAACTAATGTCTAATAAAAAAGATCTCGCGTATCTTAAACGCGTACTAATGTTTTCTAACCTAAGAACACGCATGATGTTTACTCGAAGATGACATTAATGACACGTGTCAGCTGTTAATTTACTGTGCAATTGATTGGAGAAAAAGAGATTATGTATATTCGGCAGTTTGCTATGCGATCTTCTTGTATATGAATTTTTTTGATCAGATCACTCTTGTACTCTCAAGACTTTCATATCGAGGAACTTACATTCGCTATGTCAGTAGTCGAATTACTCCGTTTTTTTTTTTTCAAACGTAACCCTTCGATCATCTTGCAGATCACAATAACGTGTATCAGGATCAGAACCCGATCGAGCTATTAATGAACTTGTTGAAAAACAAGGAGAATCGAAGAGATGCAGAGGACGGTGTAGAAAATTGGCCCGGACGTTGGATGCCAGATAGACCGGACGATCCAACGCCACCGCCCAAAATCTTGCCAAAACAGGAGAACGAGGACGGAGGATCCGCGACCGAGATGTCTCACGAAATGTCTCACGAATGGAACGGACGGATGTTCGACCACGTGGACGCTCTTATGCAACCAAACAATGAGCAAAATGAGTACGAGTCTGTGACAGAGTTTCCACACGAAATGTACATGGGCCACGTGTCACCGGAATGCGACGATGCTAAGGTTCTTGTACAGCTTATAACGTATTCTTGTATAGAGTATAACAACATGATCAAAGAAGATTCTTTTGTTTCAACAATGTTAAAAATTTCAGACCAACTTAACCGTGGACTGGGATCATTCTCCAACAGAACATACGTGTTACGGTCACAACTTCGTGCCAAGTGACATCCCAGCGTATATTTACTGTGAGACCATCCCAATGATGTACAAGGTAAATATGTTCTGTGGTATCGCCAGTTATGTGTTTACTGAAATATATTCTGACAAAGATGTGTTTTCAGGCTGTTCATAAATGTATGAATCAAATAATCGAATATGACGATGACGTTCCTTTGTAGTAAGTAAACGATATTCTCTTGTTATTTAAAATTAGTTTCAGACAATATTCATATGTGTGCGTGTGATTTGCAGTGGTACACACAGACCTTTATGGCCAGTTTACGGAGAGTACAAGTATGTGCCCAAACAAAGATGGCTACATAGTCTTGAGGTAATATTACGGTGAATTATTTATAAACTCAATATTATTGAAATATTCCGTTTACATTCTTTGTAATCTATCATTAATAGCACGGAGCAATCGTCATGTTGTATCATCCGTGTGCGAATCCTCTCGAGGTGGAACGCTTGAGGAATCTCGTCAAAAAATGTTTATGGCGACATATCATCACACCATACAATTATTTAGACGAGGATCGTGTAAGTACAAGACAGTGTTTGTAACATACTAACGCATTCTTTTCTTTTTCACGACCATAAAAAGTGAAATAAGCGGATCCAGAACAAATCCCGACGACCTAGACCGAGTACTTCCTCTCTGTGACTCGATACTATTCCTATACAAAATTTAGAATAGCAGATCGACTCGAAGTAAGTCTTGAAAAATCAATTTTTTTCGCAGCCTTTGGCGCTTCTATCTTGGGGCTGCAAATTGACTATGTCTTCCGTGGATCCGAGAATAGTGACTCGTTTTATACGGAAGAAAGCTCTTCGCGGTCCGGAACAGAACGCAAACGACGGTCAATTCACTGATGGACTATTGACTCAATCCAGAATAGTGACAAATTCAATGGATTCTGTGCTCTGTCCTAACATGTAATTTAAACCAGCAGTATATATGACGTACAAATTCGTAATATTGTTTACATTCTCAAAATTCGCGCAATTAATATAATTTATTTATAGGTATGTTTTTATATATCTTGTACATATATATATATTTTTTCTATACAGCACATTTAGTTGTGTTGATCTAGTTATTCTCTTTTGTATTTGTGTACGCTTAGGTATAAAATTGAGTTATAATTGTGAAATCCCAAAGTCAATTAGTATTGCCTCCTATGTAGAAGAGACAAATTATATTTATGTCTTTTACAAAGTATAAATACAAGTACAATAAATAAAATGAATGAATGACGCTCGATAATTGCTTGAGGATTAAAGGAAATGGTGGTGGACAGGACTCAAGAATTTAGGTGATATCTCTCCCTCTCTTCTTTCTCTTTTATTTCCCTATATATTCTCCACCCTTCGAGAAGATCATTAAATACATTGAACATCGTGTCGGTTGTTTTGAAATCTCCTTGCGAACCGCTTCTATCTACAGACAGTAATAATAACTTCACTGCAGAGATGATTATAATTTTTATTCTTGCAGATTACTTATCTCCAACGCGAGATATATAAAATTAGGGGTTAAGAGACAAGTGACACGCTACTGTTGTTTAATGCAAAATATGCTACCCGACTACTTAATTGTAAATCGTATAACGTAAAAGAATATACAGTAAACACTCGTAGCTTCTTCTTTTTCTTTTCTTCTTTATGTTTGCAGATGAGTGTTTAAATATTGAAAGTCGATTTATCCTTACACATCGTCGATGTTTTTCTCGAGCGCAACACAAATCGAAGCTCGCGGTTTGCGCCAGAAAGAGATCTTGCCGAGAATCGGGATTTTCTTCTCGAAAAACCAATCAGAGACAACACAAATAATTCGTAAGACTTAAATTCTCAAAATCTTATTTAGTTCTAGTTTTTTTTTGTTAGCTTTCCTACTCCTTTCCGTAATTCTAAGTCCTTTTGTTTAACATCTTAATATTTTTCGGATTATATCTTTATTTTGTAAATATCACAATCTTCTTCACAGACATCTTATTTTCTGAGTGTTCTAATTTCTTTTAGACAGTTTTCTTTTTCAAGCAGTCTGATTTACGCGCTGCTTAAGGTTTTTTTTTTTTTTTTATCGTTTTTGCAACGAGATTATCACACGTTGTTCTAAAACCGCAACGCTTGCAAGTTGCTCTTCCTGGTGCGAGGCGCCGCTTTCGGATTTTTATTCTTTGTGACGTAGTCCGAAGATTTCTAGCTGCGTTCGAGAGGCCGAACGTATCGCTATAAATAAATTTTCTCTCGCCAGCCGTTTAAGAAACGTCATGCTTGCAAGTCCGGAATAATGAAAGCAGCAATAGTACCATTTGTTTTTTGTCCTTTAAAATTGTACGTCGAAAGCAGTAAGTCGCGCGGCTAGCGAGAGGACTTGAGTTTTCGAAGGAAGTTCTCGAAAGCAGCTAGAGCTTTTCTTGCCGAGGCCGCTACGCTCATAGAAGGATGTTCTTTTGTGCTTGATTATACGACGAAAGGGCACATATTCCACTTGATCACATATTATCTCTACTGTAGAAGAGAAGTAATACTAATATCCGAACAACGCAAAGGTCCGGAAAATTGTTTTTTTTTTTTTCATTTTTTTAAATTTTTTTATCTTCACCAACATCGGCTAATTTTTTTATTTTTTTTCCAAAGATTGTAACGATTTGATAGTTGATCACTGTTTCTTCCTGCTTTTAGGAACAGACAAATGATTGCTTTTTTGCAACTACTAGAGTCAAAACTACCCGATGCCGTTGAAACTTTAGAGCGAAATGAGAGAATCAGAACACGCGAGAGACAGGATGTGTGTGTGTATGTGTGCTTCGGGAAATCTCTTAAAGTTATTGCCACAACTTCTTGTACAGTGTCACCGTTGTTGAAGATGACAACAATGACGATAGTATAATGACGATGATATTAGCGATTTAAATCTTTGAAAACGAGAAAAAATGTCTGGTTTATCGACGAGTCTGTTGTGTTTAATGCTCCTTTTATTTAGCATATAGTTGTTTTTTTTTTTTTTTTATTTATACGCGGAGAGAAGTTATACAGCGCGCTCGCTCGCAGAAGTGGACGCGAGACGCTTCGAGATATCATACACGTATATATAGGCAGAAAAACACCGTTGACTTAGAATTGGTTTTCTCTTATTTTTAATACAATATGCTTGTTTTTTTTTTTTTTTTTATTTTTTTTTTATTAGAGTTTTACGAATCTCACCTATATGAAATACCTACAATAAAAAGTATCCATTATTTCTGTTTCTGTTGCATGTGCTACGATGTTTTTATTTTTAAGTTTCTGCTTTTTATATTTTTCCATTTTTTTAAGATATTTCTCGTTCGCGCGCGCGTTCTCTCTCTCTTATACTTTCCACACACTCATTCTCCCACTCTTTCACTCTCTTTCGTGCCCTAATGTACTTTTTTTTTTTTTTATCAGTTTCGAATTTATCAATAATCTCACTTTGTCGCGCGCGCGCGTCGTCGGGATACGCAAGCACGACTTTTATATATATATATGTATGTATTAATAAATCGTTGAAGATTCTTCTCTCTCTCTCTCTCCTCGTTTGACGTCACATCATTTCTTTTCCTTCTTTTTGTATTTTTTTTTGTTTTTTGTTTTGTTTTACTGTCCTTTTCTCTTAAAACTCCCGCGAAATTACGATTTACACTTGAAATTGGAATTGACACTCATAAAGTTATTAAAGTAGCTCTTTTGTATGTCGTATTTAGTAATTGCACATGTTTAGTAACTCACATGTATACAAACAGCAGATCGATCCTCTCTCTTGATCACACTCGTCTATATCTTTTTCTTCTCTCTGTCTATCTTTGCTCTCCTCTTCTTCCGCACATTTTATCTACACGTCTCTCACGCAGGTCGATCCGCTGTCACAATCTTTCTATTCTACTCTACGTACAAATGCAATGAAATATTTAGTAAGTAAACAATATTTTTCTTCCTTGTTTCTCGCTCTTTCTCTCTCTCTCTCTCTCTCTCTCTCTCTCTCTCTCTCTCTCTCTCTTTGAAGTTTCGCATACAAATACCAGTAATACACATATATCATTATATTGTATATATATAATTATATTTTTTTATTAATGTATATGTATATTACCGGTTATATAATCCGACGCAAATAAATATAATACAATCGAAAACACGGAAATTGGATTTTTTGTTCTGTTACTCGATACGTTTATTCTTTGTTTGTCGCATTTTGAAAGTGACTATTGCGATCGTGCGTGCGCTCGAAAAGAGAGTATTTTTTTTTTTTTTTTCCACTTTCGAAACACATAGAATCCGATTCTCAAGGAAGACTCATATCAGCTTCCGCAATTATTTATCCTAACGCTCGCGTGAGAAACTCGTTTAGCACTTATTAACACGCGGAAACGCGCAAATTTGTTTTGCCAAACCTTGACGCGGGAATATACACAATTCGATCTAAATACGTATAATATAAATGGAGCGATTCGGCGATTATTCTGTGCTAATTATGCGATCGCTCGGCAAGCGTTTTCTTGCGTCTTTCGAACAGACGACGAGATCGACGCGAGCACGAAAGCAAAAGAAATTTCATAACATCCGAAACAAGCGAGATCGAAAGCGACGAAGTCCCACGGATTTAAGGACGAGATTACAAGACACACGTCCGAACGTTCGTCCTTGAGAGCCGAAGGACTTGGTACGATCCTGGATAAGAGGGTTGGACGTTGGGACGATCAAAATCGGTAACAAATAAATGCAACGTCTCTTTACATCTTTAGGCCTGATTCGTTTTAACGTACAGTCGGTTTTTCTTGTGCACCGATAACTACATTGTGTGTTCCTTGAATAACTCTCTCTCTCTCTCTCTCTCTCACTCTCTCTTTCTCTACCTAGTGATAAGAAATTGACAACGATAGGTGTTTTATTTTTTAATCCCTACTACAACAAAAGCTCGCTAAGAGATTCGAGGGGGAGGGGGAATCGCGAAAAAATCGGCGTTCGAGACTTCCCGCGAGCAGCACGTCGGATAGAGTTCCGACGGTTGCGAAGATCCGTAAACGCGGGAAAATCGATCTCGCCACGTCCGAAAAATTAAGGCATTCGCGCGCGCGATATGCGGCCGCGCTCAACAAGTCTCGGCAAGTGAGGTTTTAAACGAATAACGGAGAAGAGAACACTTGTGTCTTTCACGAGTTAATTAGGCGATTTGATCAAGTACGAGAATTACAACTGGCCTGAAAAGATAGAATATCTCACAACTAGAAACAAAAAAAAAACAACGCTTTCGCGCGCGGTTGTTTTTATCTTCGCTTGTTTTCGAAATCGAAAAACAAACAACTCGTTTTTGTTTTCGCGCCTTTTCTCTCTTCGCTTTCGAGAGGCTTTTTCGGCGATGCGCAAGCGCGGATACACAAATTTTCGTTTGTGTTAACAAAAAAATTCATTTTAGTCAGATATACAATAAATGTCAGACAATAACGTACTTACTGATGACCGTTTTTTTCTTTTTTTCTTTTTTTTTAACTCGTGACAGAAGTAATACACGATTAAATTCTTAGCTATTTTCTTAGTCGTATCTGGATTATAATTAGATTAGTAGATCATAAATGGTTTTTTGCTCTATCTAAACTAACAATTATTATGCTTTCTGTACAATGCAAGGTGTGTGTGTGTATGTGTGTGTGATTTTCAATACATCTTCGTATATGGTCACACACAACATATTGTTATATTATCATTATTATTTAATCTCTTAATTATTACAGCAACGCACACACCGCGTGCGGTGCATATATATATATAGATCTCGTTTCACTGATATATCATATATATATATATATATATATATAATTTTCGTTTTTTTTTTTTTTTTTAAACATTTAAACCCATAATATTCTGTAGAATGTACGCGCTTCTTCAACGTTGATAATAAATATGCTCAACAAAAAACACATTAACAGTTTTGTCAATCATGTCAGCACTTTTCTTCGCATCTGATGTACATTAGTTTGTCGAGGAGCAGTAAACAAACGTGTAGCCGATAATAAATTGTCGTGTTATTTAACATTGTTATATTTTCTTTTTCTCCTCGATCTTGTCACTTTTCTCTATCTACCTATCTATTTATCTATCTATCTATCTAGCTGTGTATATGTATAATATATATATATATACTATATATATATATATTTTTTTTATGTGTGTACACACACGCGCACGCACACGCACGCACGCACGCAAACATACATTTACCCCACCTTTTATATATGTATACACGTTACGTGTACATACATACGCTCGTAACTCATTCTTACACTCTCTCATTTTCCCCCGCCGAGAGGGGAAAGGGAGGAGATTATATCCCTTTAATTGTATTTGTTTTCACGTAACACCTATATATTATATTATTGCTGCAGCTTTATGGCTCCTTCTTCTCTATCTCTCACACGTACGCGCACACACACACGCAAACGCATTCGTACTTGATTTTTTCTTTTTCTTCTTTTTTTTTTTTTTCTTTTCACTGTCTCGCATTATTCTCCGTTGCTGTATTTTACCTGCTCTCTCTTGCTTTTGGGGTTAATCGTTTCGAAGATGATACATTCTTTCGCACGTGTTTTACATTTCGAGAACCCCCGTTAAACTTCGGTTAAATTTTGTTTTACAAGTTTAATCTCGAAAATCAACATAAGTTAGTTAGAATCTGCGTCATCAAAATAAAATTGAAGTAAGTACTAGATCGCGTAGAAAACTGAACTGAATCACGCGGAATCACAAATAATTTTCTATCACAGTGCGGTAAGTACGATTGAAAAATCAAATCGGCCGTTTGCGCGCGGCGCATCGCAGAAGAACCGAGTAAAGAAGTTTACGCAGAGGAAGGATAAAGGATGTAATGCGGGGAAATTGAATTTTACCGAGGGTTCGTCGAAAGATATATTACAGAAGACGCGCGAAATGATTATCGGTTTTTAAGGCGAGAATCGTGAATGAAGATCCATTGATGGTATACCCAATACCTAATGGCGTTTTTGTGCAACACGAAACCGAATGTAGTAAACTAGTTGTTGAACTTATCGATGTACGCGGGAGCGTCGTTCGAATGACTCTTCTAGTGGATCTAAAAGAAGATAAAAAACGAGAACCTACTCGTCATCACGTATCTCGCGCGTGTACCGTACAATTAAATCTATCGTTTGTTTTTATTTTTAATTTTTGGTGTGTTGTCTGTTGCTTTTTGAACATTCGTCACATCGCTTCTCTCTGTCACATTCCGAAAAAACATCGTATGTCTGTTATATTAGAAAAACGCAATCGCTTTTGTCTACACCTCGCTATATATCGCGATTGATATCCCGCTAATTACAGCTAAATAGAAATACTGGAAGAAGTGATTGTTTCTCTCACTGAACACCTCGTGGTCGAATTACCTTCTCGAACGAGCTCCTCTCCTCTCTCTCTCTCTTTCTCTCCTTTTCTGTTATAACAAACAAGACACACAAAGAGTATATTAACAGCTTTTACTGATCAATGTACCCGTTATAAGATCACATTATTCGCGTCGATAGCTCGGTCACTGCGAATTTTGATTCCAACAGAGCTAGATGCATCCCGACATTGACTAACACAATTTATTTTTTAGCGATCAATGAGAAGAGTTTGAGGACGCGAACTTTGCTCGATTGCTATTTACGTGAAGCTAGGGCCTTTGTTCTAATCTTTTGTATTGCCGAACGCTTTCGTTTCCGCTCGTGTATGCGTAAAAAGAGAGTTTCGATGAGCATCGTGATTAGCCAATATAGGCGCGAACCGTCCCCGCGGGTGCTTTTCAAGCGATAAACTGCACGCGATGTCGTTTTCGTTTATTTATGTTTTTCTGCAGAGAAGAAATGTCACCTAGCTGATTCTCCATGATCGTCCGGATACAAGAGAGGTGTAGTGTAGAGATGTCAAAAATGTCACTCAAAATTCGCGTGATATGTATATATATATATAATATAGCCGAGGATTAAACCGCTGGTCGAGATATATTTCAAATAGAAATTCGCGGTTAATTGCTTAACTCTGTGCTAATTTTTTTTTTTTTTTTTTTTACTTAAGTAAATACATCCGTTGAAATATTCTTTGTTTTTATGCGGGTGTGAACGGTTTCACCTAGCCCGAAAATCTTCTAGATTTTTTTTTTTTCCATTTAGTTTTCTCAGGAAAAAGGTTCACAAAAACTCGCTCGAAGCTTGGCTCCCCTCCCGTGCAAAATGTGTGTGTCATATAGAAATCACTAGAAATTATCCCGAATATTCCGATACCAATCATCAGTACTATACGAGATACCAATTATTACAGTAGTACGCTATTCACTTAGTAATAATATGTTATCGTGATATATGTATATATATATATATATTTACTAGCGGGAATTGTACGATCTATAACTTGTCTCTCTATAATCTTCACTGCGGAATTTGGCGTTACAAAGTTTTTTTTTTTTTGGTCAGCGGTTTATCTCTCGTGTATAAGCGGATACAGACACGGAGACCGGATATCGGTGAGCAAAACGCACTTTCAAAATGTGACGTTTGAGAAGTGACTCCCCAAAATTTCGCGGTGTGCGCAAACATCACAGTCACAGGAAAGGAAAGCGATGTGTGACGACGTCGCGCGTCATATTTTTTCAAGAAGATGCTACACTGATTCGCGTGTTTATCGCCTTCGCGTTACACGGGAAAAACACCATTGGATGTCAGGCCTGAGAGGGGGGTAGAGAAAGGAATTGCGACGACGAGGTGGATACCGCGAAGGACGCACCGCCGTTTCCGGCGATAACGTGCAACGCGCGTCTCATGACAATGTGTCGGCGGGAATATTCGCGCGCGCGCAGGGAGGGGAAACACCGGCAGTGTCCTCGTGTCAATAGCCGTCCTGTTGTCAGTGACGAGGACGACGTGGTGTCAGAGAGAGAGCCAATCGGAGATGCCCCTTGATCAACGGCACGCGCGTATCTCCGATCAACGCGTTCTCTGAGAGAAACCAAGGTCTCTTCGGTTTTCTCAGCCTGTTCGCGAAGCCTTCTGTCGTCGATTGTGTCACTTCAGCCGCGTGAGAGGAGAACGGGCACAAGGAAAGGAAAAAAGAAAAGCGTAATGTGACGGGGACGCATACGCAAAAGAGAGTTCGAACGCTCCGAGCTTCGTCGCGGAAAAGAATACAAGCCGAGATTGACTACTGGAAGCCGGGGATCAATCGGAAAAACTGTCGATCGAGCCAATACTTGAGACAAAAAAGAAAAAAAAAGGAACGAGAAATATCCGTGTTTGTTTTTCTCTCCTCTTGGTTTACATCATCCGACCGCTAACTAACGTAACTATCGGAGGACACTCTTGAGAGGAGATCGGCGCGATGTGAACGACGACGGTGAGACCGACACCAAAACGACGACGATTCTTCTCTTTGGTTTTTCTTTGTGCCGAACTGGGAAGGGGAGAAGAGGAGGGAGCGTGCGTGAAGATAGACTGAAGACTCTCTAGCGATGTGTGATGTGTGTTTTTTTTTTTTACGCTAATACACAAGCGCACCGCTGGTGGCACCTTCGAAAGTGACAATCTTCCTCTCATCCGAATCCGGCGATCAGCTTCACGTATCGGGGTTGTGTGAATGAATGCTGACGCTGCTGGCGGTTCGAAAATATAGGTACACGGTGCTGCTGACGTCGTTTAGATTTATCTGAACAGAAAAATTCGAATGATCTCGTTGGCAAGATACTTTTGACTGAGGGTTTGTCCTCGCAGGGAGAGAGTGTATCAGTTTGACAAAGTTTTCGAAAAACACTGAGAAAAAAAAGAACAAAAGAAATATCTTCTCTTTGAAAGAGAACGATCGAGCAATTTTCTTAACAGCAAAGAGTCCGAATTAATTTTTTAATAAATTAAAATTTGTTTTTTTTTAATCGCCCTAAAAAAATGCGAGGACTCTCTCAAAACACATGCAATTTTTCGTGTTTTCCCGGTGTGTGTTCCCACACGCGTTTTTTGTGCACACGTGGGAATTGACACAACGCGAAAGACACTTAGCGCTTTAACGAGTCTCGTGAGAAATGTAAACATCGACGCGCGAATTACAACGATTGTCAAAACATTTGCGATACTCGAAATCGTTAAATTTGTGACAAAGTGCGCGCTCGTTACGTTGTTTAGGGATTTTGATCAAATGTATGTTCGCACACGTACCTGATTTTGGCGTTCACAGTCCGAAGTATCCACCGATGGTGGTCGCGACGACAACGCCCAATATGGCGAGGCATACCATGATCATGATCTTCTTCTGCACTCGGCATTAACAAATCGACAAAGATTTAATTTAACAATCGATCACGATCATCAGCTTCTTTTTTTTTTCTTTGTTTTTATCTCTCTTTCTATCTCTCTGAACGCTCTTCCCTAAATCCGCAATTTCTCATCTTTTCTATCTATCTATCTATCTAAACTCTATATAAACTATTACATCACTTTCTCTTCCTCTCTCGTTCTCTCACTCTTTACCTTACGTTTTTTTTTTTTTTTTTTTTTGTAACTCAAATGTATCTCTCGCTCGTGTGCTCTCAATACCTCTGTCCATTGTTATTATTATTATTGTACATTACAATTGTTTACTTATCGATATACTATGTGCTATATAAACAGCATCTGAAAGAAATTGGATCTTGCTCGTTGCATGGCGACGCACGTTGCAATGGCCTGCGCAGAAAATCACGAGTGAGTATGTGATCTTAGAAGTGTGTGTGTGTGTGTGTTGCAGAAGCTGATAATAAAATCTTTAAGTTCGCGCGAATCATCAGGATTGTTAAAATTGATTAAATAAATAACAGTGATTACGTATTTATTATATTGACTGTCTTTTCAATAACATACATAAATGTCTCAAATGTTTCCGTGCGCGGTCTTCTTATCGTCTGCGAGTTTTTTTTTTCACGTATCTTCGAGCGGATCTTAAATTTTGACATAAAACAAATCTACATTGCGCAAATCAAATTTCGGAATAAAAAGTACATTGAGAAAATGAATTTTTTTTTCCAGTGAAAGAAACGTCGCGCGAGAAAAGAATGTGAAATTTTCGGCTCTGAGATGGTCGAATAATTCGGAGACGATAGGATAGGCGCGCGAATCTCGAACGCCTTATGCACAATAAAGAAATATAAACTAAGTACTATTAGCAAGCGCTAATCGCGATATTGTGAGTAATCTGTCTTTAGAGAACGTACTTCGTGACGTATCGTTAATTAAAATCTAACCGTAACTCTTTTGTTGTAATAATAGAGAGGACTAAGATCGAAGAAGACGATCAAAGAGATTAGCATCAGTCGGGGAAAAGCTGGATATACAGACCTTCGTTAGATTTTCCCGCTGGCTGGCCATCCAGGTTTTTTTTCTCTTTTCGTGCAATTTGCGCAGCGGTGCAATTTTCAACCCGTGCAATTCTCTCATTCCCGGTGCATATGACGCTTCACCGCAGTTCTTCTCCTTCTTTCTCCACTAAAGCCAATTTACATCTGGCGTTTGTACTTCGAAATCTCGAGGCTCTCGCAAACGACGCCATTGCTCGTTCCTTTGTGCGAAGCGCGCACGCCACACAACTTCCATTATCTTCCGTTTATTATCTTCGTCATTTTTTTTTGCTCGCACGAGATGTACATCATAGATCCATCATACGTCTAAGAGCTAATTATTGTTACACCTCGCTTCTCCTCGCGTTCTCCGGTTGTTTTTTTTTTTGTTTTTTTTTGTTTTTTTTTTAATTAGCGAACAATTATTTTGGTTTCCTTTCTTTTTCACGAAGTGGCGACAAGAGGATACGATAAAAACGACGAGAATAAAGAGGTGGCGTGAACGAAGCCGCCGTTTTTTTTTTCTCGAAATTACGCGAGGGACAATTTATAAGTTCTTTTTAACAAACAAAAGTACACTCGAGAAGAGAAGAAAAATTCCTACCATACGCTAACGGCATTTAATAAGTAACGTCAAGTAATGTCGTTATTATTTTTTTTATCTCCTCTTTTTCTTGTTATTTTTCTTATTCTATTATTATTATTATTATTATTATTATCATTATCTGCTCTATACAAATTGCAATTATTTACACGTGTGATATATAATGCGCGCGCCGCGCCGTATTGTGCGGTCTGCATTGCGACGACGGTGATTATTAGAGTTCGAGCGATCGATATTTGTTCATCGGAGCGTGTGTGCCGCCTCGCGAGATACTTCGTCGTCACGCGGATTAGCGTTTCGACCGAGCGGAAGTCTCGCGTCAGCCTATAACAAGAGAAGACCAGAGCACTCCGCGCAAGGACGACGTGACGACGACTGAGTTTGGACTATCCCTCTCTCTCTCTCTCTCTCTCGTTCTCGGTCGCATTTTGCAGAGAAACGATCGATCAAATCTGGGGCAGATCCGAGAAGCCAGAACTTTATCCTTGGCGATGTTACATCGCCGATTCAAACGAGACCGTTTGCTGTCTGAAATATTATATATGGCCGATTTCTTGAACCACGGAAACGACAGCCGACATGACTGAGAAATTTATATGCGTGTTTGTTGAAGAATTGAGAACATCGATTTTCGAACCGAAAATTGTTACCCTCAATGCGCGACTGTGGTATATATCTTTTCGCTTGGCCGTCGTTATTGACGGACAAAAACTTGCATTATCTTCGATTTGCGCTTCTACCGAACCGAATGTCAAGAAATGCCATCAGAAAGTATAAATTTGCAAAACAAACTTTAACGCACAAAATAAAATAAGTAGCGATATATAAAATAATAAAAATGTTTTTTGTTTTTTACTGAATTTGACACAATTTTCGTGTTGACACTGATGTCTCGTTTTTTAACAACAATTTTGTCGTCTTAAGTAAATATCGTAAACTATTGTTATTTGTGTTGTTCAATTGTTGTTAAATCGGCGACGTACACTTCGTCCGTAGATGTGAAAAAGATGCGCACACACGCGTATCTGTTAATTCTCGCACGTGATCCTCGATTGTGCAGCTGGCCGTCTTTCTCGCTCGCATCGCGCGCGGGAATGATGACGTAAATAAACTTAAACGATGGAAAAACACATAACAAAAGGCAGTGCAAAAACACGCTCAAACACGAGGAGAAAAACTATCGGGCGACACAACACGATTCGTTCGTCTCAAAGAAAATTGTCGCAAGATACGCAGAACATTCTCTCGCTACTTCTTTTCCTTTTGTTTCGAAACTTGTGTTTTTAAATATTTAGCGTATACTTTTCGAAACAATGAAACAATTCGACTTTTCGAAGAGACGTCGCAAGAAAATTGAATTGAAATCGCTGTCGCGATATATTTTTCATCGTATCGGAGCGTAACGGAGAAAAGAAAATTTTCGTCGCTCGAACTACTACTGTTACAACAAAATGATTTTTCACGTGGCACGTCTGTAAAAAAAGTACGTTCTACGGAAAAATCCTCGTTACTCATTCGCTTCGTACTGAATCATCTCCGGCTGTAACGATGCGAGCGTAAAATTGCACTCGCGACATAATACGACGACGTTTTTGTGTTATTATACGTGATAATAAATAAACACATATAAACGCATAAAATATATATATATATAGAATCAATAAATAAACATAAAGACCTTCCGCGCGCGCGAGAGATGTCGGCGAAAATGCTGGGAAATTCACAATGTGTCGCGCATTATTCAAACTCCCCGGGAAAAGATTTACGATCGACGCGATTGTAGCTGAAATCCTCCTCCGATTCTGAAAACGTCATCCGCGAGGATGAAAGAACGTGAAAAGGAGTGAAGAATGTATCTTCACATCCTGTTCCGGTTTTGTCTGGATTTTTTTTTTCTGTTTTTTTCCCTTCTATCGGTAAACTTGCAAAGAATGCGTGTATTTTGTTTTCCGCGTGTGTTCGCTTCTTCCCGCGTCACATTTCGACTAACTTAAACTAACAGCCAGAATAATAATGAGAATGATGACCGCTATCGTCACGCAGATCGTTATCAGGAACAATTTCTGCAAAAACAAAGCAATTTCGTGATCAAATAAATAAACAAAAAAAAAGTTAAAGAAAATATGGAGAAAAAGAAATAAATAAAAGGAGAACAAAACTCCGCGCGATCACAATTTGAACTCGCGGAAGTTCCGGTCGAGCGTGAAGAAAAAAGTTCCGACTTCGAGCGCTTGAGCTATTGTTAGACATTTAATCAGAGAGACGTCTGTAAAAGTCCGCTTGTATATGTTCATGCACAAGAAATGGCATTCACACTCGAATCGATAGATCAAATCGTGTTTGTTGAAATGCTTTTCATCTTTTATTGCTTATTCAATTCGATCAGTTAATAAGTGTTACACAGAGTACAACACTTACGTTTGAACAACGCAGAATAGAGAGAGAGAGAGAGAGAGAGATCCTCTCTTGCATCTCTACTCTGTATTCTTAACAAAATTTCTCTTTCGAACACTGCTTTTCTATCTCTCCAATACTTTAACAAGATCTAGATCATCTTATATGTATAATCGCGATAAAATAAATAACATGTCAAACGTAAATATTTATACAACTAGCACGACACGAAAAACAGGACGTTGTTGAATTTGTTTTTTTTTTCTCTCTTAAAAAATAATTTTTTTGATCGAACTCGAAGTGCGGAATGGAAATTTCGCAACACACTTTTCGCGAAGTGAAATGAAAGATGACAAATGCAAATAGATCGATATGTGAAACAATAAATGACGATGACGAAACGATTTCTGACGGCCAATCTCGACGTTTGTCCGGAAAAACCCGAGGGGATAATTCTCTGTCTCGCACGTCTTTTCTGACGTCGGTCACGGTGAAATGAGAGAAATCGCGCTAGAAAAAAAAAAAAAAAAAAACAAACTGACAAGACAACGGGAAATCACAAGATTATATCGCATCACAGCAAAAAATCGCAATCACATCTTATGTCGTTACTTCAATATATATATATATATATGCATGTATCCGGAAAAACGTCGAGTAGCGCGATAAAGTTCACTTGATTTTAATGAAACGAGTCGTTCGTTACAGAGAGATTAGTTGGAAGATTATTGACTTGAGAGACTGCGGAGAGACACGTGTTATTGTGGGATCGACGCGGGATACACGTTTCGTTAACATATTTGCATTATGTCTCTCTTTCTTAGACTTTTTGTTTGTTAGTTTTTTTTTTTTTTAGTATGCACGTGCAATTTTTGGGATACAGCTCTCGATGTAAGAACCGCCACCAGATTGCATTCCGCATGTCTTTTCCGATTACACTGCACATTCGATCTCACGCGTTTCTCTCCCGAGCTGATCGCGCAACTAAGGTTTTTTTTCTGCACATTATTATCTATTTATTTATATTATTTTTAATGTTACTAATATTATTATTTTTTTTTTAATTATTATTTGCGACGTAAATTGCTGCCGCAATTGCACTCGGTTATTTTTCCCCTTTCTCTTTCTGCCTTTTTCTTGTGAGATTTCAAAGCTTCTCTTCCTTCTCCCGACAGAAATAACATCCCCCCTTGGCCCGTTTTAGGCTTTCGGAAGGAACCCTACGATTATGGCGACTAGTATAACCGCCGATATTAGGACGCAGATTATGATGAAGATCATTTTCTGTGGACAGAAAAGCAGAGAAGACCACGTGTGAGGGGGGAGGTGAAATGTGCGTTTTGTTACGCGCTTCGTCCAAGTCGCGAAGTCGCGCAAGGAATTAAAGATAAAAATAGATCAGAGAAGAAAAAAGTAACGAATTTTCAATACTTATGTTGCATGGCGTGCCTTGTAAGAAGATTATAAAAAAGAGTATACTTATGTATACTACGTATTACATCATTCGAGAAAGAAAAAAAGAGAGAAAGAGACAACGAGAAAAATTTTTTTCGGCAAAAAGATCAAAAAAAAGAAAAAACGTGAGGAAAAAACTGGGTCGGCTGTAGTCGAGTGCAGTGGATCAGAAATAAAAAATATTTAAAAAATAAAAAAAAAAAATAAAAAAGATTCGAAGCTCGTGGGAAAAGAAGCGGTGTGAAAAACATGTAAGAAGCGAGCTTACATATATGATTACACATGTTCGCTTATATATTGACTTTGCGCTTGCTGCACACAAGTAATGCACTTCCGATTGATTTTTCGCGATGGAAATTGAATACAGCATATGTAACGTAATAGAAAGCACATATGTATATAACAGAAATTATTTATAAATATATCTCAATAATATTTTCAATTACTCATTACTTTAGGTTCAATTTATATTTGTAAGCCGCGCGTTATATCTCGGTATTTTAATTTATAATAAATAAATTGTTACGTTTTTGTTAGACGAAACGTCTTTTTGTTTATCGGATCAAAGTGCAGAATATATGACAGTTCGTTACTGTTGTAAATATTATTATTATTATTATTACGGACGACAAATCTCAGGGGGATGACGTGCTGTCAAATACAAAACCAAGCACATTCCTCATACAACTAATAATGTTTCACAAACTGGTTAGTCACAAACACCAAACCACTCTACTTGGTCACAGAGAGATGTCGATTAAGTCTGCTCTCTAGTCTACCACACCGCAACAGTGTTTCTGCGAAAATTTAGAATACAACGCATTCTCCTAGTACTGCGGGTACTCTACGTTGCTCTCAACACTAATTGATACTTCAGCGATTTTTCATCGCGATCTCAGGTGTGCACTTGGATCGCGAAGCACAGTAACGTACGCTTATAATCCAATAATTTTTATCAGAACTGTCATTCCCCTTCCTCCCGCGTTCCAACGCTCAGATTTTATACGAGATTTTTTTGTCCAACGCCGACGTAATCGATAAACCAATTTGTTAAATTAAAAAGTTACGTGCTTCCTAACATTTTTCTCGCAAAAATGAGACCAAACGTGTTAGATTCCGGATAAGTTCCGTTTAATTAATCTCTTATTTATAGCCAGTGTTTTTGAAAGCAAAGTATTGAAACAATTAGGATCATTGAGCGATTAATAGCGTATCTATGTATGAAGAGAAAATATAAAATATTTCTTACTTTTTCAAATATCGCATTAAAAGATTAGTTTAATTAACTTTACTCACGTTCTCCCCCTGTTATTCTTGATTGTAGAAATCGAGAGCATTAAGAAACAAATACAACTTTGTACAATTTGCGCTTATAATCCAGTGTAAGAATTCCTCGAATCACTGGAGTATAAACGGGCGTTACTGAATTGCTTTTTACTTGTAAACGTGTGACCAAACAGTAACATGATTAGCAGCAGTGCAATTGTATACTAGACATTAAAAGTAAAGGTCAATCACAAGAAACACGAATCGGATTTTACCAGAGTTGCCAGACGTCGGGAAAGATGTTAAAAGTTCACTTCCGATCTCTGTTTAGAATCGCGCAGAGTCCATCGACTCTATAAGATGCTCTTAAAAGATTTTCAAAAATTTCAAAAATATTCTTAACAGAAGAGAATTCGAATATAATAAAACAAGCGAGAAGCAGCGAAAATTATCAAAAACTATTTAAATTTATATATTAAATATATTATTTAAATACATGTATTAAAATTATGAAAAATTAAATTAACAATTACTTAAAAAACTGTAACTGCAAATTATAGAAGCGTTTTTTTTCTTCTAATTTTGTCTCAATTCACCATTTTTTTTAATCTGGCAATTCTGAGTCCCACTCGATGCGAGGTGATCGCAGGTAGACACATCAAAGACGAAGAAATTTGCTTCAGGAGCAATAAGAAATTTTACCTCGTGATTCCTTGCTTGATCTCTTTCGTTAAATCGCGAGTATATTTTAATATTCAAATCTATCTCATTTTCTCAGAATTTATCCATTCGTAAACTATTTATTAAAAAAAAACAATGTTTGCAATACAAGTTTGAATTTATTTTCAAACGTATAGTTTGACATTTTCACTCTTCGCAGGATAAATAAACAAATATATCGCGTATATATCGCGTCGTTCCTATTGCGAAGTCGACGTGATGCGCAGACAAGGGACGGATGACAATGCGAACGTTACTGCGCGCGCGAATATTTTGAAATCGCAGTCCGCGAGTTGGATAAAATTTCAAACAAATCTCTCCCGTTGAATAGGCACTTATTCCTTTTTGCTCCATCCACTTCATTCACTCGCGATGTCGTCTTTTGATGAATGCCGCCAAGCGAAGCGGTTCCTTATCGCGCGCGCGAACGCCGTACTTTAGAGGCGCAAATCCTCCGAGTAAACTCTCTCTCTCACTCTCACGGAGTGAGAAATAGCATTCTTCCAATAGAGTCTACAAAGAAATTATTATTTCACCTCAACGGCGCGACGTGAAATTTCGCGATGCCAGGCGAACAGAAAAATGCATTTTCTCGGGACGAAAATCCGTTTCCATAAAAACGTCGGGGAGAATAATGTTCTCATTCACAAGTAATAAAAGAATTTCCGTCAAATATAATCGCGCGATTTAGCATTTTATTTTTTCATTATCGAATCCCCGGGCTAAATCTGTCTCGCTTTACAGGAGGAAAAACCCGTATTTTTTTTGTCCCTTGCGATATTCCGCAATTGACGCGAATGCAATATACAGAGAGAAGCAAAGTATATACAGTACATATACATGTCTAGTTTCGGGCCAAAGTTTCTAACCACGTGACTGCTTGGTGGTGTCTGATGTTCTTTACCTTACGAGACTTTCTTTGATATTCTTCGGCTTCGATCAGCTCGCCCCGGGCCTGGCCCACGTGGTCGCCGGTTTGATTCACCCAGTACTCAATGCGGTCCACCATTTCACCCTACACCGCACGTGGGGATTCGTAGGATTCGGACAAAGGGATTCGGGTTGACAGATTGCTCATCGAGAGGGCGAGAGGGGGGGAGAGGGAACAATTTCGTTACATTTATGTACACATACTCGGCGAGTGAAGAGAAGAAGCAGAGCATCCCCGCGGCAGCAAGACACCAGAGATCCTCAGCGGCGTCGCGCGCGTCATTTGGTTTTGTTTTGTTTTTTTTTTGTTTTTTCACATCGATACACAAATCACACACGATTCGTGTTAATATCAACACAGCAGATGAAGATTTAGTAAACGCAAGGTTAGTAGTATGAGTAATAGTAAGTAACAGTAATAGTAGTAGTAGTAACAACAGTAGACAGAGCGATTGATGGACAGAGGCACACAATTAGCACACCCATGTTTCGACAGAGAGCGGTATACATAGGTATATATATATATATATATGTGTATATATATATATATATATATATATATATATATATATAT